AGCAAGAGACACAAACTGCTTCTGATGAGCAGTGGCCAGGAGCTGGCACGCTCTGCAGAGCCTTGCAGGGGGGCTTGTGACCAGGCAGCATTTCAGGGATGGGCTCTGGACTCCCTGGTGATGCTTCTCCAAGCCCAGCATCCCTGGGTGCTACAGTGGCCCAGGAGCTCAGCCAGGCACTCCTTGTGCTGACGTGAGGGCTGCCTGGGATGTTTTTAAGAGAAACACTGCAGGTGCTTTCTAAAATCTGATGTAATTCTAATTTTTGGAAGTGGGAAAAACTGAACCCGTGTTTTATTTCTTACTGACGGTTTTTGAAATGCCCAAGTTTTCACTTTGTCAACTCTTGCATAGAAAACTTTCTTTTTGAGAAACTTTTAAAAACCTTCTCTCGTTCTGTCCATTGGTGACTAGCTGATTATTGGATTTTCTCCCAGAATGGAAACTTGGCTGTTACCAGCCCAGTACTCCTGAATGAAAAAGATTTTTTTGTTTGTTTGGGTGGGGTTTTTTTTGTTTTGTTTTTTGGGTATTTTTTGTTAGAGCATTTAAATAAGTATGAACAGATGTCCTGAGAAAATTGCCCAAACCTTGCTTGTTTAAAACCAGATTATGGGTTTTCTGGGGAGGAATCAGTTAAGCGGGTACAACCCAGTCTCACCTCTGAGAAAAGTTTTCCCTATTTCCTGCCAGAACATCCCCCTTGCAGGCAGACAGGGTGCAGGGGCATGCAAATCTCAGCCCTATCAATGGTTTTGATGTCATTCTTTCTGCAGACAGTCGGTTACAGACTTAGACCTTCACCTCAGAGGAGTAGGATGTGCAGAGCATAAGAAAAGACCATCATCCCAATGGTCCCAATATACATCTCCTTCTCTACCACCCAATTTACCCTGTACCTAATCAATCTGCTGATCCTATGCTTTTCACTTCTGGGCCACTTAAACAACACTCCTATCGTTACTAGCCTAGAGTTATGATTTCCTTTGGCATATGGTTCTTGATATGAAAATGTACTCCAACTGGTTCCTTGGCTGCAACAATGAACTGGTGAGTTTTAATTTCTTGATGCAGCTATCAATTTTCACATCAGGAGGTCCATGACTAGATTTTAGAAGGGCGGTGTCTCCTGCCCTGTCCCTAAAATGTGCTCAGGTTCTGTTGCCACAGTTACTCTGCCAGGGTTTGTTCAGGTTGCCCAGTTGCTGGCAAACTGGAACCAGGGAAGAGCCCTGAGGAACTGGAGTTACCTGATGGAATTGAAGGGAAAGTAGAAGGAGATGCTAAAAAAGATTGAAGTCTCCTGGCCCCAGAGCCTTTGTTTGCTGCTCAGCTCTTGTTTGTATTATACTGTATTTTATTATAAGCATATACATAGGTATCTATACATGTGTATTTATAACTGCATAACCTTCCAGTGCTTTTATTTTGGACCATAAATGAAATGAAAATACTTTTGAATCCTGAGCAGAAAAAACACTGTTCCCTGCTCAATTGTGCAAGGGGCCAGAGTGTTTAACAGAGATGAGGTACTAGGGAGAAGTCGAAGCAGAGGTGAGATGTGAAGTGGATCTGCCTGCCTGGGCACTCCTGCTGTGCTTGTGCATGCCATAGAAATATCTGTGTGTTCCTGCTTTTGTGTCCCTGACAGGCAAGTGCACACCCAAAGAGCACTGCTGTTTTCATCCTGGTCTGGAGGGAAACTACTGGCACTGGACATAGCCGAGATAGTGGTGACAGGAATCTGCAGCTCTGATTCTGCTGGGAATTCATGTTACAGCCAAAGCAGGTCCAGGAGCAAAGTTCTTTTGGTCTCAACTTACCTCCTCCTGTGCTCTACACCTTTTGATCAGAGGTGCCTGGAGAGGGACTCACCAGCACCCCGTCAGCCTACACGCCGAGCACAGCTCACCCACAGCTGCTGCCTGCAGAGAAGCAGAGGGTATGGCAGTGCTATCTGCAGGAGAGGGTTCTCCAGTGTGCCATCCCACATTCAGACTGGTCCCTGAGCTCTGGCTCATGCAAGAGTGTCACCTGTTTATCTCCAGTGTGCAGAGCATGGTGTCCACAGACAGACGTATCTTGTACCACAAACCTGGGCACAAAAGTGAGGCCTCCGCTCCTCTGCAAGCATCTGGGGAGGACAGGAGTTTTCTCGCCTCAGGATTCTGGTCTTCCAAGTCATTATTTGGAAGCAGTTATTCACTAGGGGGTCTGTGTCTGATTGAGGCTGTCCAAATGGCTGCAGTAGGATCTTCTGTCATGTGGGAACTGCAGGCTCTGCAATGGCTTTTGGTTTCTGCCACTGTAGTTTCAAAATATATGTGCATTTCTGGGAGAGAGCTTAGTGGCTCAGGCAGGAGTCACTCCTTTGTGCTTACTTTGGCTTCTTTCTCCGCTGAGCAGTCTCCAGGTTCCTGTAATGTGCCAGCCGGTATCAGCCTCTATTTATCCCCTTTCTGTGCATATTTGTGACAATTTTGCTTGCTACAGCCACGGTCGCTTAAGCTGAATAACATTTTCAGGCTGAGCAGGCCAGTAGCAGGGTGGTTATCAGATAGAGGAAATGCATCGTATTTGCTCTGGCCTTTGGTTCCCAGATAATATAACGGCAAATTGTGTTCCTGGAAGCTGGGAGGTGGCTTGCAAGATTACATGGCCTCAAAACACACGAAGGCAGTTTGTCACATGTGACAGAGGAGTGGAGGGGGAGGTGGAAGTGGGGAGCACAGTTGATCTCAGTGCTCGGCAAAGGCCAGATGTGGCTGGTGGCTTTTTCACATTGGGAGTGAGAAGCAGCAGCAGTTGTTCCCAGGCCATTCTCCTCAATGGATTTTGGTGGGTTTGGAACATAATTCATTGGAGAGTAGCTGCTACTTGAAGAGCAGTAAGAGATTGTGCTTGTCTCCTATTAAACATTTCCCTTTCTTCTTTCCCTGTCATCATTCATATAAGTGGGTGCCTTTTGAAACCCTCCTCCTTTTAGGTTTGAACTACCTCTCCAGGTGGCTGGAGGTGGCTTGGTGCAGTGGAGGAGAGAAATCTAATTAAGTCATCCTCTGCTAAGCTGGACATAGACATGAAGCAAGACCAGACCTGGAAGTAGGTTTTGTGCTACCACAGCACTCAGGGCCAGCGCTCCTGTGTGTGAGCCGTGCACAGTGGGGTGGGTTGGGGCCAGTTCTTATGCACGTCTGACTCAGAGAATGTCAAAGTGCCTTATCATCTCCAGAGGAAGTTTGTTCCAGCTTTGTGTTGTTCGGGCTGTAAGCACTTCCCCGGGAGCGCAGCCTCAGCTGCTGGTGGAAGACTGGGATCAAGCTGAAGTCAGAAATCTTGGCAAATGTTGTAAGATAAAGAGAAAGATACAAGAAAAATGCAACATAAATCAACAGCCTTTAGGATCGGGATTTTCCAGCCCTGGTCCTGCCTGAGGTGTGAGGCACGCTAACAGTGACACCCCTCGTCCAGTGCTCTGGCTCTTCTCCAAAAGTGGGTATTGGGGAGAAGTGGCTAAGCCAGCTGTGCCCCACTCATGCCCCATGTACCAGCATTGTGCTGCTCTGTCCCCTTGGCAGCCTGCCTGGACCTGGAGGCTGCTTCAGGACCTGCTCCAGGAGGCATCACTCCAGCGTGGGCTGTCCCAATAAACAGTGGGTGATGGCCTGCCTTCCTGGGATGGGACTGGGAGGAGTGTGGCTGCTCTGGCTGGTGCCATCAGCAGCCCTGTGCTCTGAGGGGGTTACTGAATAGGCAGCCTCTCATTTCACACCTCTTTCAGGGGAGGCCTCCCACAGAATAACCCCCCTGTGCCTTCCTGGGGGGTGGCATGAGAGCAATGCACGTGGGACAGGCGCAGCATCGGGGCTGCCACTTGCCAGCACTTGTAGCGCTGGGAGGAAGGTGCTCTGCAGCCTCCCAGAGAGGTTCAGCTTGCACAGTTCCAGGTGAGACACACTGCAACAAAAGCTCTTCCCTGGTGTTCTCCTTATTCATATAAATATTTGTGTGTGTATCTATCCAAATATTTTTAAATGGCATTACCTTGGTAGATCTGTGGTTGAAGTTGTTTTCCTGTTAATACAGAGTGCATGTTATCTAGGCTTGTTCCTTTTTTATTTTTTTTTAGATTCACATTCTTCTATTTCTCTTATTTCTTTGAAAATCTGTTTCGTAAGGCCTTGTTTCTGCCTGTCCCCATTCTTCCACTTGCCTTAGATATGGTTATAGACTCAAAATCTTAGACATTGAGATTTCATCCTTCACTTTTTTCCCTTTAGATTTTTTTATTGCCTCTGGTGGGTTATTTAAAGTCCCTCTCAGATTCTTTACCTTCTGCTATTTCAAAAATATGTATTGAAAACATCTTTTTTTTCTGGAGTCTTAACTGATTCTTTGTGGTATTTGTTGGTTCTTTTCTCTTTCTACCTTTTTTTTTTTTTTCATCTCTCAAGTAACATCTCCCAAAACCACATAGACTTCTTCTTATTTTACTCCAGAAGATGCGTAAAGTGATGTTTTACTTTAAAAATGCTTTCCTCAGGATTTTCCGGCTTGCTTTTGCACTTGTAGATTTAATATTTCCCCTCGCTGCTTATGTTTACACTGAACATTTGTTTTCATTTTCAAGTTATTGTTGTGTTCAGTGCAGTCTTATCTCACTGGGTGGAAGCCAAATAGTTTGTAATTAATTGCACATTTTCCTATCATAGTCTATTAGTTCCTGCCAATTAGCTTGTCTCCTTGTTGATAAGATTATTGCTATCTGTATGCTGTAGTAATTCTGCTTACCCAGGGATATTCACGCAGTGATGCTGTTGAGCACAATAGTTTTGAGAATCTCTAGAAATGTTTCCTTAATCAATCCCCTCTCTCCTTGCACCAATCTGTTGCACAAGGCAAGATATTATTTGGTTTTGCTGTTGTTTTTAATCCCTACATTCTTACCATAACTATTTAACAGCTACACTATTCACTGTGAGATGGTTTCTGTGCAGGGATGTTCTCCATTTCTCACTGTACCGTGTAATTCCTCCTCTGGAATATCTTCCCTGGTTTTCAAGAATCACCGATTTGAGGACTGGAGCTGGTTTAGTTGGACCATCCTGTTTAATCGCTGCAGAAGAGGAGCAGACCTGCGTGAACTTGCTTAGTTCCTTTCCAAATGATATCCTGTGGTAATGACCACAGGTTCTAAAGTTTAATTAAGTATGCACAGTGGGAGGAAAAAGTATTTCATTTTGCTTTAAATCTGAGTTATTCATTGAATTACATTAATTTTTATGCTGTAGTGAACAATATATTCATCTTCTGTGTCCTTTCCTTTTTCCTAGACCTCTGTTGTCACCCTGTTTTCATCCAAGGCATCTGTTCCCAAAATGAGGAGTCACTGCGTATTTGATCACTCCTTGGTTGAATTCAGTCCTTATGTCTGCCTGTCCCTCTTCCATTTCCCTGTTTTTCCTGTGAGAATTCTGGTGCTGTGTGGTTACACCATAGATTAATGTGCTGACACCACAGTGTTTGCTGGTTCATTCCTGTTCTCCTACTGCCTTCCCAGACTGCCTGTACACAGCTCAGGTTTTGCTGCTGCTTTACGCACTTGATGCAAGGACACTGAACCTGAAAGCATTATTTTTTTGCCCCCTATTCTATCTTGCCTCAGATATTTATCAATAGATATAATAAAAATATTTTAAAACCTTGACCCACATGCATCCTCGGACCATCACAGCTGTAACACATCTACTATGAACAATGTCCTGTACTGTTTGCCTCTTTTATGGCCTCTAAGCATGGAGCTAATTACCTGCTGTAATCCCAACACAGCTCATTTTGCAGCCCGGTACTGGGTTTGCACAACTGGGGCAGGTTGTCTCCCTGCTGTGTGATGTTTTCATCTGCTGCCTGATTGCCCATTCCCATTGCAGCTTCTGGAGCGATGGGGCAGCAATGCTCCTGGGAAAGACCAGTGGCAGAGATCCCTGCGCGAGAGGGAAGAGAGTTTGCAACCTGCCAAGTTTCTGAATGAGGCTGTTTTGGGCCCTTAGTAAGAAGCAGCAGAGAGTTTAGCTGAGTTTATTTCCAGCTTTGCTGCCTGCCACTGCTCCTGGCCACAGCACAGCCCTGGAAATTGCGGGTCGGGCTGCGGTGCAGGACCTTGCCCTGTGCCCATGACCTCCCTGCCAAGGAAAGACCCCGTGATGGGAATTCGCCGTGAATTTGTGTTTCATCTCTTACCTCTTCCCAGCAGGTCTCGGGGCTTGCACTCCCTCAGACAGTGCTGTTGAGGCACCTGTGTGTGGTGGTCTCCCCTTTCTCCAGGGACGGTGCTGGGCGGAGAAGGCGATGGAGAGCGGGAGCCCAGTGGTCCGGCCCGGGAAGGGAGCGCTCCGACGGAGGCGGCGTGAGCCCTTCTCACAGGCGGGGGGAACGAGCCCCTTTGCACTGGCCATGAAATCAGTCATGTGTAGGTTTTTGTCCAGCCCTGGGGGGTGGGGGGAAGGAATGTGGGTTGGGCGAAGTCTAGGATTACACCACCGCTGAATTTTTTCTTTCCAACACTTTAAATAGCCAGCACCTTTCGGTCCTGCCCTCGCCTCTCCCGTCGGCTCTCGCCCCGACAGCGCCGTCCGCAAGGTAACACCTCTGCCCCCGCTTCCTTCTGCCCTGATCCCCCTGCGCCCCGCACCCTCCCGGGGCTGCCGTGGAGGAGAGGTCACGGAGCATTTTCTGCCTGTTTAATAATTTTCTAGCGTGGAGGGGTCCTCCCAGCCCTTCCTTTCGGCTGCTGTCAAACGCTTGCCAGTGTTTCTTGCTCCTCTTCATGTCCCCAAGTGTTTTATAGGGGACTATGCAGACGGAGGGGAGAGGCTGTAAGTGCTGCTTTGCCCTTTTTTAATTCTCCCCGGATGGGGGAGAGTGTCATTTGCTGCCAGTGCCTTTTCCTGCTCTCCTGGCGAAGGAGTTGCAGGCAGGGATGAATGGCAGCATAAGGCTGGGGCTGGGGGAGCTGCCTTTGCAGGGCAGGAGCAGGCTTGAGGGCTGGCACTGTGTGGAGGAAGGTGCCCTCCTTGGCACAAGGTCCTCAGCAATCCCAGCTTTGACAACGGGGCAGGGGTAAGGAACCACAACCCTCACCCTTTGTCCTGTGGGACTCGGCGGCCAGCGGGGCATCCTGCCCGGGAGGAACAGGCTGAAACACCTCCTGATCCTACTAAATGGCTGCAGCAGAGCTGGTGCCACCTGTGCTGCCCATACCTGTGACCTGAGGCACCACTGTGCATCAACAGTCACATAGGCTGTGCCCTGGCTTTCTTGGGAGGACAGGTGTCCTCTTGGAGGTTTTTGGGGGAAGGTGGGACAGTAGGAGTGGTGCCCACCTACTCTCTGCTGATCTTCTCTCAGCACAGATCTATTTAGAGATGGTGCCAAAGCTTCCTGAGAGCAGTACTGTGGGGAGCCTTGGCAGGCAAAGGGCAGATGTTTGGAAGAGCAGATCCTGGGAAAGGTGAGATCCCAGGTGGTCATGACTTTTGCACCCTTTCTCTTCCTGCTATTAGAAGGATAGCACCATTCTGAAAATCGCCTTTTCACTCAGCCTTGTAGATTGTCAGCAACAGTTGCTACCACCGAAAAGAGAAACTTGTTTCTCTTATTTCAGTTCGTCCTCTTCCTGTGTCTGAGTCTTCTGTGTGTTTTGTGGCTTTCATTGCATGGTCTGTCAAACTAGGCCTTGGTAAGCAGCAACAGGAGAGAAGATAAACCCTTATAAAATACCTTGTCAAGTATTTTATCCTGCTGTTGTCCCCCTCCAGCCCTAAGTCTGTTCCCTGTTCTTGCTATGGTGGAAGCTTCACCCTGGCTGAGCTGCTGTGTCCTTAGTGTGCTTAGAGGATGGGGTTCCAGAAGCAGTAGTGTTTTGAGATGAGTCAATTTAAAATAAGGAAACTGATAGTGGCTTTTAAGAATTGGTTTTGGACTCAGTAGTGAAAGTGTACACATCCCCTTAGTGTCTTGTGCCAGCAGGAATCATGAGGAGCAAGAAAAGAACACTTTGACATGTGTTTGTGCATGTGTCCTTGCCCATCTCTTGCCTCCCACAGCCCAAATTTCTGCCTTATTGCATGGCTTGTGCTGAATGTAACAAAGGAAACTCCTTCTGTAGGTGGGATGGATTACACAGTCCCCGGCGCTGTCAGCAATGGTGAAATGGTGCCTGCACACCCTGGCATGGAAACGGAGAAGGAGAAAGAGGAGGAGGAGGAGGAGGACCAGACCCTGGAGCGTGGACAATGGAACAACAAGCTGGAGTATGTCCTGTCTGTGGCTGGGGAGATTATTGGCTTGGGAAATGTCTGGCGCTTCCCCTACCTCTGCTACAAGAACGGTGGAGGTAAGTGCAACCCTGGCCGTGACCGCCCTGAGGGGCACCTGGTCACCAGTATTTCTCCATGATCCCTCCTGCCTCTGTGACATCTGTGTCTGGCCCTGCCCAGTACTGGCAGCAGCTTCTCAGCAATGCCCAAGTCACGAGTCTGAAGAGAAGGTGCCAACCTGCCAGCATGGTGCCACCATCCCGGCCCCCAGCGGGGGCTGTTTTGACCCAGTGGGACATGGATAACCGGGCAGCAATGTTCCAGGGTCTCTGATGGCTGTAGCTGTGTTTTTCTGGGGTGTGTGGAGCTCTGGTCCTGCTGGTGAGGTGGGTGGCTATCTGCAGCGGGAGGTAGGAAGAGCAGGGAAGGGGCTTGGATCTCTGAAACAGTGTGTCTCATCCCAGGTACTGCTTCCTTGAGGAGCACCAGACATCCTGTGCAAATCAGATGGTGGGTCCTGGTGGCAGACCAGGGAGTGCTGTGGGAGGCCATGGGGCACTGATGTCTTTGCTGGCTCTGCAAGGAGCTGCAGCATTTTCAGGAGGCTCTGGGGGATTCCAAGGAGCTCTTGGCCATAGGTACTGGTTGTGTCTGTGGAGGGGTGACCCTGTGGTGCTGGAGCCAGGTGTCAGGGACAGGGGAGTGTTAAGGGGTTTTCCCCAACTCAGTTAAGAAATATTACATCCCTCCTGCATCCCAAGGAACCCTATTGGCATCTGCCAGAGATGCAAACGTGTCAGAGAGGGGACCCCTGCCTCTGATCCCCATGGGAGGGCTGTGAGGTGTTTGGATGGATGTGCCTGATGCACAGACATGGAGAGTGTTGCTGCTGGTACCAAAGTGCCAGCACACCAGTGCTGCTCAGGCTATGCTTGGCAGTGACCAATGGCTGATCCCCCATGATGCTGGGCTATAGTGCAGCTTGGCAGTGGAGCTGGGATCACTTTGCAGGTGAGCTGTGGGCTTTGACAGGTCTTTGTGCCTGCTTTTAGCTTGTGGTTGACTTTAAGGGAGAAAATTGTTTAAAAAACCAAAACCACTCTTTCTCAAATTTGGCTTGGTGAAATGTAGAGAGAGGGAGCTGCTCTCCCTGTCTGGTGATTAATTGCTAATTGGGCCCTCCGGAAGGGCAGGGGAGAGGGAAAATGGCACTTGGCTGGGAACTGGCAGGGAGTGAGTGCTGGGGACTCGGGGCTGAAATCCCCTGGCTTGAGCTTGGGGTAGTCTCATGGGCCTCACTAAACTGCTTTCATCCCAGTGGCATAAAAGAGGATTAAATGCTGTTCAGCTACTTTCACGCCATGCTTTGCTCAGTGCTTGTTTCTTTTCGCCAGGTGGTCAGGCAGTTTCTTTCCCTGTTGTAAAAAAGATAGTTTTCCTCATTTTCTTTTTCTATGGGAAATGTTTCTTGGCTGCTTGCTGAGCTGTGTCTTTTCTCACCGCTGCACCTCTCTTGGATACTACTCCATCAATGGGAGTGGGACCTGGAATCCTGTCCTGGCACCTTTTGCCCTGGGTGCCATGGGGGAGCTCAGGGAGAGCTCTGTGGAAAGGGGAGGTGCTGTGTGTGGTTGGACAGCAGAGGCAAGACACAAAGGGATTTCTCAGCCTTTTTTTCTTGGAGAAATGGGCCTGAAGCAAAGCCCTGTAGAGCAGCAAAGGCCATGGGGAGTTTGAAGTCTCAGGCAGATTTTTCATCTCCAGTCCCCTTTCCATGAAATTAGAGCAAGGATGGGGCACACGACTCTTGTGCAGAGAGGAGAGCGTTTCCTAAAAGTCTTCTCTGAGGGCAGAGCAGTGTGACAAGGCTGTGCATGACACAAGGCTCTCTCCTGCCTCACAGAACCCAGCCTATCCCAGACACTGCTGTGTCAAATCCCTTGTAATGCCTCAAGTTTAATTTTAAAAGCTGCCAGAGGTTTAGTCCTTTACTCCTTCGAGAAGGCTCATCCAGGCATTTGCTTCTGTCATTCTTCGATAAAGGTGCAGGGCCTTTATTTAATTTCCAGCCCCAAGTCAATCATGGCCAGCCTACAGCTCTTGTACCAGCTCTGCCCTTCGTCTGCCCTGCTGGGTGACTCTTTCTCTCCACGCTGAACTGCGGGTAGACAGTGGGGATAACTGCTCTCAGCTCTTGCTTTTCTTGCCTAAATATGAGCCTCTTCACTAAAAAGGTATCTGCAAAATCTGAATTATGCAAAGAGCCAGTCACTTTTCCTCTCTTTAGGGATATTTTCACATAACAAAGAAAGAGGAGTCCCTTACATATTTAGGGCTCAGCACCTGACACCAAGGCCCTCCATAGTGGAGGAAAGACAAAGAAGAGGAAAAAATTGTTCTTTTTGCTCTTGTTTGCTCTTGCTTTCACCTCCTGTGGCGGGGTCAGGTCCTCCCTGGGCAGGCTGATTGGGAAATACTAGGGAAGCCTGTCTGGTGGTGTGGCTGCCGGCACCACATCCCCCACCAGTGCTCCCCAAATCCGCCATTCCCAAGGCCCACCACTGCTGCCATCCCTGCACGTGGGGAGGGGGACATGGAGGACACGTGTGCCAGTGTTTCCTCTTTTGCTCTCAGCGGGGTTCAGCTGCAGGGAGGGTGGACAAGGCTGGACTGGAGAGATGTCAGCCCAGCGCTGGGGGGCTGCTTGGGCGTGCTGATGGCCCCCTGTCTGCAGCACAGCCCCCACTGTGTGCTGCCCTCCCTGTCACCCCCTCCTCAGAGTCACTGTGCAGGGTGGATCTGCTGGGCTCCTCTCTTCGACTTTTTCTCCTCTGCCACCTAAATGAGATGGGGAGGGCACTGGGGCTGGTGCTGGGGCCATCCCACCCTTGTGTCCCCCCACCTGCAATGTGAGGGGAGTGGGGCAGATCACAGACTTTAGCCCAAACCCATCTCTGCAATTCCTTCCTTATCTCCACCATAATTCAGCATTATTTCACAGCCCACACATCAGGACCCTCCAGTTAGACTTCCAAAGCTTGAAACCTGAGATAACCAGAGGTGCTGAGGAAGGTGACAGGCCAGATTGCAGGCTGCAAATAAGGGAAACCTGGGCTGGAAAGCTCTACCTGCCACCTCAGAGACCTCTACCGGGATACCCTGGGTGCAGTTTAGTTAAATACAAACTTTTTTATGACAACAATCTCTCTTGGAAATAGGCTTGACTTTTATGATGACATGATTTCATGCAAGCTGGGAGTTGAGGGGATGGTGTTGAAACAACCATTTCCCCTTCCATTTGCCCTCATCAATTATTGGTAGAGGGATAGCATGTGGACAGATGCTACCTGGGGCTAGCAGGTATCATAGAACCATTAAGATTGGAAAAGACCTATAAAATCATGGAGTCCAACTGTTAACCCAGCACCCCTTCAACTTCTGTTTGTCCACAGGGAGCTGCCAAGATGCCTTCCCTATTTATTTTGCTCATGTATTCTTTTTGCAATAGTAGGAGGGCTGTGGGTCTGAACCCAGCTGGGACAAGTGGCAGGGTGGGAATCCTGGCCAGTCCCTAAAGCCCCCCTTCCCTCTTCCTGCTCCTGCATGCTAGCTAAGCTTCTTAGGGAAATCTCTTGGGTTTTGAGTCTACTTGTGCACCAGGGTTGTTATGGACTGTCCTGCAGGCCTGTCTCCAGTGCTCTGTGGGGTAAAGGCCATTGCTGCATTTAATATGAGCCTGGGGTAATCAAAAGCCTAATGCATTTTATCTCTCCTGCCCATTTCATGACAGGGCTTGAACAGGAAGGCAGCCCTGGCTGCTGGCATGGGGTACATACCTTCCTGCACTACTTGCTTTTTGTTTGCATGTCTGCTGCTTTTCTGTGAGCAAAGACTGACCAAACCCACAGACTGGGTGAAGATGTCAGTCTCTCTGTGCTCCTCAGTGCCTTGGTGTTGTCATCCATGGGTTTGTCAGCTTATTCAGAATAATCAATGTGAAAGGAGTGACCAACTTGATTAAAAGTCTCAATGGCTTTACAAACAGGGTGTTCTTCTGTACTTCCCTACTGCTATTGATAACTTGCTTTTTACACAAAAATCAGGCCTAGAAGCTTTTCTTCCCTCTGGATCTTTTGTAAACATTGAACTTCTCATGCAATTGCATCATTCCAAGAGATGAAATGTGAGGAAAATCCCTTTTTCCTGACATCCCTTCCATGATCTTCCTGCACCCACAGTCCCCATCCCTCCCAGGAGGAACCTGCCTGGTGACAGGTTAGAGACAGCCTGACCCCAGTTACCCCATGGGGCTTATTTTTCTATCTGCCACTTGAATCTGCCAGGTGCCTTCTTCATCCCCTACCTCATCTTCCTCTTCACCTGTGGGATCCCTGTCTTCTTCCTGGAGACAGCGCTGGGACAGTACACCAGTCAGGGAGGGGTGACGGCCTGGCGCAGGATCTGCCCCCTCTTCGAAGGTGAGTGGAGTGAGCCTGGGAGGGCATGGAGAGGTGGGAAGACTCTTGGACCCCGGGGAGATGAGTGGTGATGTCTCTCCCCACAGCCTAGAGCATTACTCACCTCCATGCATACACTGCCCACCCCTGCCCCCTATCCTGAGTGGGCCACTGACTGCCCCCTTTCCAAAATCACCCTGGAAAAATTGATCACCTTTTCCAACAAACAGCTCCCATTGTTACATTGCATCCCAGGTTCCTTCTTCATGGCCACAGCTCTGGCTGGGAGCTTTGTGCCCAATCAAGGTTGTCCTCCAAGAGCTAAATGGGGAAAACACTTCTGGCGGTTATGAGGAACCTAAAACATTCTGCTGGGTTTTTTTAAGTCAATGCTATGTCATTTTCCTGAGTTTGCAGGTGGCTTAAAACCTTAGTGGTGAAAGGTGTCAGCTCTCTTAATAAATGGCTAGCAGTCAGATCCTCCATTTCTAGCACTATTTCAACACAGTCATCCAGCATCGAGCCACTTTCCATGATTTCTCTGAAAGTCTCAGTTGCTGATGGCTCTGGTGGCCGCCCCGCTGGCACTCATCCAGCAGCGTGCTCAAAATGCAGAGCAGCAGATGCGAACATTGGGTGAGCACCTCCTAAAGGGAATCCTGTTCCTGTCCTCTGGCATGTGGGTCACCTGCCTTTGGGACTTGCTTTCTGCAGGAATTGGCTACGCCTCACAGGTCATCGTCATACTGCTGAACTTCTACTACATCATTGTCCTGGCCTGGGCCTTGTTTTATCTCTTCAGTTCGTTCACCATCGACCTCCCTTGGGGAAGCTGTGACCATGAGTGGAACACAGGTGGGTGTGGAGCCCCCTCCCAGTCCTCCACCACATCCTGGCTGAGGGAAACCTGCTGCTGCCCACGGCCAAACCTCAGGAGAATATCTTGCCCCTGTGTAGGTGGGACACAGGGGTGGAGGGTGCTGGGTCACTGCAGTGCTGCTGGCACTTTTGGGGAAGAGGCTCAGTAGTTCTGGGTCTTTGCTAGAGAACACCACTGCCCAGCCACTTGCAGCACTTACCCAGTGCAGTGCAGTGGTGACCTCCCTGGGCTCCAGCCACCAGGAGCACCTTCCTTCTTGGATCTTCCAGTCAACCTGTTCTGTGTGTTAGCCACCGACCCCGTGCTGGTTGGGACTGTGTCCACTGGAAGAAAAATTAAATGCAGTCATCTTAAGTGTCCCTGGCATGGACTTGTTTTGTGCATCTTTGGGACTACACAAAATTTGTCCCAGAGTCAATGTCAATCAGTGTCAGCACTGTGGATGAAAAGGGAGGGATTTTTCAGATCCTCTGGTACTCCAGGCACTGCTGCTCACACACTCTCTCTCCCTGGGCCTTTCCCACAGGGAACTGCATGGAGCTCCAGAAGGCAAACTCAACATTCAATGTGACCAGCGAAAATGCCACCTCCCCTGTCATCGAGTTCTGGGAGTAAGTAAAGGACAGCCCTGTAGACCCCTTTCCTCTCAGACATATTTTCCCTGGGCAAGGGACAAACTCTGCAGTGGCACATTGTATTAGCCCATCCTTGCCAGAAGAGGACACAAGAGGGGGAGCTGGGCAGGTCAGAGTGAAGGCTCTCAGGGGCAGCACTGTCAGTCAAGGGTAACCTTGCTGGGCTCGTGGTGTTTATCTGGGGCTGAGCTAGCAGGCCTCAGAGCCATCTGACTTTGTCTTTCTCTGATGCTGTATTCCTGTCCCTCTGGACCTTTTGGCCTTCTTGATCTCACTGACCCTCTTTCTTTTGAATCCATGCTGCTATGTGATACCAGCATGTTCCCAGGAGGCTCTGGCATGGTGGGTGGTTACTTTTGTATGTGCGCTACTCTTATTTTAAAAATAGAAAAAGAAGTGATGTTTTCACTATAGAGTGACTAATATGCCAGCTACCCAGAGGATAAAAACTCACCAAAATCAAAATGAAGTTGTAGGATCAACTTATTTCACACTTAAATTTGGTCCCTCGTTTTCATTGTTTTCTCCCCTTGTGTTAGTTACCCTGAGATATGGAGTAATTTTATTTCTGGCATGAAGGCATAGGCCTGCTGGCTTGGAATCTCTGATGGTCCTCAGCATCCCCTGGGAGAGCAGGCCCAGTTAAGCACTGAGCCCTGGCTGCTGGACTGTGCCAGTAACCCCTCTGCTGCCACTGTGCATTTCCCTTGTGTGTTTAGCTGGATGGAGAGCTCTGCCCTCGCTGCCCTCAGCAGCACTGCTGGCTGCTGTTGGTGCATGGAGCACACACACAGTACCTCCAGGGCATCTCCAGCTTAGCACAGGCATGCTGCTCTTGAAGTTTTTAAATTTTCTTTGTCTCCTGCATGCTCCCTGAGCCTGTGCTCTCCCTCTGCCTGCTGCACACACATGGCCTACCTTAGACTACTTTTCTGGAGGCTGGATGCTGGAAAAGTTGATGTTTCCATCACTGCTGTGACCGTCCCGGTTTTACTGGGGAATAAGCACACAGGATTGGAAATTTCCACTGTCCCTTCTTTCTGATGCAGCATCTGTTCCTGCCTTCCCTCGGCAGGGTGGTAGGAGGCTTCTTCAAGAAGCTCTGACCTGTCCAGTGGGCTGACAGGCTCCAGAGGCCTCTTCTGGCTGCAGTACAGTTCCCAGTTAGTTACGGTCCACTGGCATCCTTTGCCCACTGGTTACATAGTCCATGTCCTTAGAAACAGACAAAGAGCAACATGACGAAATGTATCTTGGAGAGCAGTGTGATTTTTCCAACCCCTCTCTGATCCTCTCAATCCACCAAAAGGTTGTGGGGCAGGAAGGGCAACAGTGTGTATTAGACTGTGGTTCTTCTGCAGCACGACCTTCATTTTGGGATAATCACTGTCTTTTGCAGCAGGGTGGGCATTGATGCTGGGTTCCAAGGTAGTGCATGTCCCTCTCTGGCTGTCTCAGGCTTGGGGTTTTAGGATTACACTGTGGTGTAATCCCACTCAGATCCATCTGTGTGGTGTAGGAGATGGAGGAGGGTGAGTCCTTAGTTTTGTAAGCGATAAGGAACATTTGACATACACATGACATGGAAAGCTGCTGTTGTCTGACCTCATCTGAACCAGGGTCTGTCTAGCCCAGGATCTTATCTCCACGCTGGTTGAAAGAGGATGCCCAAGGTGGCCTCTTCTGACTGTGCAGTGGGGATTATGGCAGTCTTGGTTGGGTCTTAGTCACAGAATGGGATGCTGTGCTGCTCTGTGTCCTGAGATAGCTGCTTCTAAAGACAGAAGAAGTGTACTATGGAGAAGTGGTTGGACAGCACTGCTTCTTTGGTGGTCCTGATGGATTCTGCACGGTAAGTGTGGTGTATCCTTCGCTTTGAGGTTTGAAGCATGTCAGAAGTGCAGATGAACTTTGTAATGTGCATGAAAAAGGCCTGGGCAGAGCTTGTGTGTTCAAAATGTTGCATGATCTTGCAGAGAGCAGCTCTTACCATGGAGGACAATACAAATGAAGGGTGGGAGAGGACAGGAGAAGAAATATATTGGCCCAACAGGTCAGCCCTAGAGCGAATGTAGAAGCAAGTGTCTGTGCATCACCTTCCAGGCTGACAGTTTTTCAGGGGAGAGCACTGCTTGATTCCTTGGAGGCTTGCAGCTCAGACCTGAACCTTGTTAGTAAGACAAGGTTCTTGTCTCCCCAGAACCATCAGGCACTGAGAACCAGGGGGGTGTTGGGAACATTAGTGGCCAACATCAGTGACACTTGCATGTTCCTTTGCTTCCTCCCGATGCAGGAGGCGAGTGCTAAAGATCTCCGATGGCATCCAACACCTGGGTGGTCTCCGCTGGGAGCTGGCTCTGTGTCTCTTGCTGGCATGGATCATCTGTTACTTCTGCATTTGGAAAGGAGTCAAGTCCACAGGCAAGGTGAGTCCTTGGTTCAAGTCAAGACTCTTCCCTTGATCACAGCTGGAGTGCTTGTTCTAATCACCTTTTATAGGTTCAGAGAGGTCCTAGAGATTCTCTGGGAACCACTCCTGTCTGTGTAAGCTGCCAGGAGTCTGTAGGGCTCAACTTGCAGCAGGAGTGTGAGCCAGGCCCTGTGTTTTGGGTAGGAAAGGATGGGAGCACTGAGGCATCTCAGGGCATTAACTTCCAAGATGTATACACCCATCTGGTCCCTCTCCATCCACAGGCCCAGGAGACTCTGCAGTCTTCCTATGTGTGGGGTGGTTGCATGTTCGCTTCCCTCCCACTACAGTGTGAGCACGCAGCGTGTTTTTGCCTCTGATGGCAAGTGCAGCTGGAAAATCTTCAAATTCATTAGATATTAACAAAGGTAGCTCTGATGGCCTCAAAGCCCTCTCTGCCTTGTCACCATGGGGGTTGTCTTTTATTCTTTTTGTTTGTCCCAACTCTTCATACAGTTGCTCGTATTCTCCAGCAATAAAGGTTTCCTTTTTTATTCCCCACACTAGTCACCAAAGAGTTATATATTTAAATGCTTTTGAAAAGGATTGGTGTGACTGCCCAGCTCCATTCCATGCTCTCTCTGTCACAAAGTGTGCCACTCTCATTTGCACTGACCCCATTACTTTGTTTCTGCTACCGCCTCCTGACCCCATTCCCAGCCAGCTTTGTCTGGAGCCAGCAAGAACAGATGAAAATGAAAAGGTTTAGTGTGTTTCCTAAATGGTGTCTTCTCTGCATGTCTTGAACAAGACATCATGTGTGAAGGGGTGTAAATTTTAGCTGCACCCATTTCCATAAAGTTGATGGCATGGATGTTAGCAGTTCCCCCTGCTTCCAGAATAGTCTGGGTTATTAAACATGGCAGGGAAATCAAGCATCTTGCAGAGATGATATTTTCTGGTTTCCATGGAGTAAAATTAGAAGAAAAGAGCAACCACTTGCTGTGGTGACCTGTTAAAAGAAAGCAGAGGCAGTCTAATAACAGCAAATATGATACTGAGATACAGCAAACATAGTGTGGGAAGTGCCGAGAACAAATTTGATCTATTTCAGACAGAAGTACCAGTGATGGTGAGATCTTCTTGAAAACAGAAACCTTCTTTCAGTGAAGCAACAGTGTCCATAGGCTTTATCAACCCTCCACATATTTAATAACCTGACTAAAATGATGACTGTGGGAATACAACCCCACTGGGGAAGAGATACACCTTCCTTGTGTGGATTTGCCTGTGGAGGGTCAAACAACACGAGCTGAAATCACCCTACTCAGAACACCAGCAGCAGTTTGCATCCTCCAACGCAGGACCTGCTTGACCCCAAGGAGCACTCACAGATGCAGGAGGTTGTCACAGATGGAACCACTTTGCTGAGGCGTGTGGATCAGATTCAAATAAAACCCTGGATGTTGTTGACCAGCATGTGACAGAACAATCACACTGATCCCTGCAAGGTTCCTAGTGATGTAGTTAGTGCTAGCGATGCCCAAGAAATAAAAAGATTGGGTCTGATCCAAGCACTGACTAATATCTCGTTGGATCCAGATGTTCCTGTTGTTAGATAGAAGTTTGGCACTCTTAATACAGCAAAACATTCTCCAAATTCAGGTCTCTGGTCTCAGTGGAGATATGTGACTGACTGTTGAGTGAAAAGCTTAACACACTAATTTGCACAAGCTGTAAAGCACATAGGATGCTACCAAAATGTGAAATCAAAATCATATATCAATTTGTACTCTGAGCTCCTAAAATTGATGTTATTTAGAGATCCAGGCGAGAATGTGCAACCTGGCAACCTGGAAGAATGGGCACTAGGGTTCAAAGGCAGTAAGTTGTTTTTATGATTTTTGATTTTAATCTAGCTTTCACAGACTGAGAAAGATTAAACTTGCATCCTGTTATTTCCTGAAGGAAACCTTTGGTTGTGTGGTAAATACAGTGATGATGGTTAAACTTGCAGGACCTGCAGGTTTGATAAACTGTCACGGAAGAGCTCTAAATCAGAGGCTCCTTGAAAATTTGAGAATGAAATGAATGATGGTGTTTGCCTGTGTTGAAGGATGCTGTCCTTGGGTTTCTTCAGTGTTTAGGGTGCAGATGGGGATGGATCTGCTGCCACAGCCATCTCAGGCAATCCTGAGCTGCAGCAAGGAAGTGTTTTTCACTGACCACTGTGGTATTACCTGAGACTGCTGTGATATATAGAGAAGGGCACATGAAATGCATAGAAAACACGGAGCTGCAGGCAGAAATGATAATCTAGTATTGTGGTTTTTCAAGGACAGGCTATCTCTCAAATCCTTCTATCCTAAAATACAAAACTGAATCGCTGGAGAGTGTGTATCCTGACTCAAAGGAGGACTCACATTGCAGTGAGGAGCTTTGGACCTTGCTTTATTCACATGGAGTGTATCAGAGTGGATCCAGAAAAAATCTCTTTCTGAATCACCACTCAGATCATAAGAATTACCCAGGGGCAGAGTGAAAGTGGTCATACTGTCCCAGGAAATCATACGCTTGTTCTTTGTAGGACCTCCTTTAATGCAGAAACTGCTGCAGCTGCGGCACAGCCTGTAACTCCTGCTAAGGGATGGTGGCCTTTAGGTGGATTTCGAAACAGCTTATTCTGGATGGATGGGCAGGTGTGATGAATGGATCATTTCACATCATTACATTTTGCACTTCCTCCAGAGATGAGCCTTAGCTCTCCAGTGCACCACCGAGGCTGAGGAAAGAGCTGTGGGGTTGCGTCCAGGTGAAGCATGCTGGTGCAAGTCCTCACTCAGCACGTCCACACAGGAAAAACCTGAAAGAGCAACATTTCTTTTTTGGCCTAGCATGATACGATGGGCTGAACAACCTCTTTTCAGGGTGGCCAATAACTCTTGAAGGTGCGGAAGCAATGCAAAGGGATTAATGACATTACCTGAATTTCTGGGGAGGCTGTGAGCCCTTGGTATCAGTTTGTTTGTACGGGAAACATAGAATACAACGTTGTGTTGTGGTGGCATGCTACAGAAAGTAGCCTAAACAGTCCTGAGAGTGCCCTGGTAATCCCCAAATTGAGTGTTACATTTACCAGAGGTCAAGTCCCTGAAAGGATTACTGGATACCGGCCTCCAGCTTTCCCCCGAGGGATGTGGCTCCTTTGCTAGAGGAAGGAATTTCAACCCTACCTGAGTACATCTACATTGCTCATGGGGCTGGTGGCATAAAAAGCAGGAGGACACAGGTTAGAGGTTCTGTTTGGGTCTGCATCCGTGATGGCAATTCTGAGATGTGCTGCCCTGCTCTGCGTGAAATACCCGTGTTGGGTAATTGTACAGGGGTCAGTCAGAGGCAGCCTCTGTGAGTCCCTGCAGTGGGCAGAGGTGGGTGCCAGCCCTGAGCTGGGCACCCCCCACTGTCCCTGGTGGTCCTTTGGTGGCAATCACATTTCAGAGTGTATCTCTTACCTGCACATCCCTCTACCCTTACTACTAAATCCTGTGGAGAAGAGACTGTCTGTGTTTGATTCAGACTATTTGGAGTAGGGACGTGCAAATAGATACTGGGGGCAGCTCCTTCTCTGATGCATGTAGATATTACACTGCTGGCTTCAGTAGAGCTACTATGCCTCTAGCCTGGTGACACCCTGGCTCATGGTCTGGATTGCTCTTGGGACTAGAAAGGTTTTCTCTGGCTCCAGACATGTAATGGCATGTGACAATTTTTCTGGGTGCATTTTAGAATGCATTTCTTTCTATTGCAGGAGACAGGAAGGTGCTGGGTGAAGCAGCCTGATGTGTCCCCTGGCCATCTCTCCGAGCCCAGGGGTCAGTGCAGTGCTGCCAGCACTGGGTGCTCTGGCCCATGCTGCTCTCTCACACTTGTCCCTTCATCCCCCTCCCAGGTGGTGTATTTCACAGCCACGTTCCCATACATCATGCTGATTGTTCTGCTGATCAGGGGAGTCTCCCTGCCCGGGGCATCCCAGGGAATCCTCTTTTACCTTTATCCAGACATCAGTCGCCTTGGGGACCCCCAGGTAAGGTGGAGGGGGGACTGAATGGATGAGCTGTGCTTGCATGGATTCCTGTGCATGGTTTCCTACCCTCATTCTCTCCTTTTTGTTTTCCCACTTTCTTTCTTCCAATTTCTTCCTTCTGACTCCTCTTTTCCCCCTCGGTGGCCATAAGGCAGGGCTGTGATATTGGTGCATACTCTGACAGTCCCTGCTTTCTTGCCCTCCGGTGCTGTTACCTGAGTTGAGCCTGACTTGCTCAGGGGGCATGGGCACTGGGATTTAACCCTTCATCATGAGTGGTGCCAGCTTTCCTCCCCCTTTCCTGGGGAGGCTCCTCTGCTGCAAAGGCAGATGGTGCCACTTTGCACTGTGCTGGCAGCTTGTGGGGTTGAGCCCCGCTCCTGACATGTTTGCTTCAGCTTCCTGGGGAAGCATGCCGGATGCATGGATGGTGGGAGCCATGGCATGCTGCAGCAGCAGTCCCCAGGATCTGGCTGCCCTCCTTGCCTTCCCATCCCCGGTGAGAAATTCCTGCCTGTTTGACAGGAGGGTCAGCGCCCGACTGCTGCTTTTAATCTCTTTGGGACAAGTTCTTCCACGTTAAATCCTGGCTCCAGCTGAGCTGCTGTACCAGCCTTTGTGTGAAGGTGTTTCCAAAGGAGATTAAAGGGTGCCTGCTTGGAAAATAGGCCAGCAAAACCCTTGGTAACCTCATTAACTCTTTCTAGTCTAGCACCAGTGTTGCCTTGGTTATTAATTTTGTGAATGGGAACATAAGTGCTGGGGGAGGTACAGCTCCAGCTGATCCTGCCCTCCCTGATGGAGGAGAGAGGATGCCTCTTCCCTGGGGGCGGGGGGTATAGCAGTGTGTCAGAGGCTTCAGGTCATCCCCGGGCTCTGCCTGTGCCCAGGGTGCATCGTGGCTCCGTGCAAGTCAGTTTGACTTACAGCTTCTGATCCGGGGAGGTAAACACAAGTGTCCGGTTTCCAGCTTCAGGCAGTCTGGTTTTTATCATGGGAAAGACTCAGAGTTCCTACTCAGCTTTCTGGAAGTCACTCTCTGGTCAGGGCTGTGCCTGAGCATGGGGTGAGAAGCCTATTTTGCAGTGCCAGCTCCTCTCTTTCTCTATTTTGTCTGTGGACAGGAGGTGGGTAGGACAGCTGTTCCCTTGGCATGAAGGTGCAGGAAGGCTTGGAAGGGGGTTAGGACAGGTCTGTGTTTGCAGTGTTTGTGCCTCCATTCATGCTGATGAGGTGCAAGAGGCTTCTGAAATAATATTTTTGAATGGTGCTCCTTCCCTCATGAAAAGTCCTGTTGTTACTGTGGCTGCGTTGCCCAGGGGACTGAATTAAACCACCTCAGGCGTGGCATGGTTGGTACTAGTTGTGTCCTCATTAGGTCTGTCCTGGCAAACTTTTTCAATTACAGCCTGAGCTTTAGAAGCACAGTTTCCTTCCAGCCTGGAAAATGCTAATGTGCCGGTGGAAAAGCAGAGTAACCCTTCAGAGCAAGAGGAAAACTCTGATGAACCAGGGAAAGGAAAATTTGCTCCTTCGTCCCTCCCTCCGCAACTCCATCATTCCCCAGTGAATGCTTCACTTCTGTGGGAAAAGGAGTCGGCAGCAGTGGTTACCTTCCTCCAGCAAGCTTTAACCACCCTACTGAACCGATTAGCAAGGCTTGAGGCTTCTCTTTCATTTTCCCATCAGAGGGAAGGTTTAGTGCCCCAAGCCCCACGTGTGTGTGTCTGTGCCCCCCTGTGTCTGTGTAGGGACAGTGTGAGTCCTACCATGCCCTTGGGACCAAGTCGATTATACTTGATTTGTGTTCATAGGACAGTGAGCTGTTTACCCACAGCCCTGCACTGCCCGGCAAAATGGAGGATTCTTTAGTGCCTGGGAAGGGATTCTGGGAGTTAAAAAAAAAAATTAGGAACACCCTCTGCAATCTGAACCTTATGATAAAGGCTTCTCAAGGGGAGGTTTAAACAAAGGGCAAACAATAAACAAGGGGACAAAATCAAAACTCCTCTAAGTTGTATGAAAAACTAGGTGAAAAGAGGGGATGAATTATTTATCAGATTCTATCAAGGGAGCAGCAGCAGATGTGTCAGAATATCAGGCTGTTGTGTGGGAAATCATTGCTTTTCACCTGCCAAATGACCTTGGATAGAACCGGGAAATCCTGCCTATGAGAGTCAGGCAAGCTGATTGATGGTAGTCTCTTCTGGCCATGAAGTCTACAGTGCTCTAAATCTTCCCGCACCTTCATTTTCTAAATCTATGAAATGCTTATAATTAAAATGGTAAATGAATTGCATTTGACAGGTAGATCAGACTATACAGAGAAACTGCCAAATAAAAGTTTTGAATAATGAAGTCCAGTTCCACTTAAATACAAGCAGATAACAGCAAAACCACCAAAGAGATCATCAATTTTGAACTGTGTGCCTCCAAGCGAAATAAAACCCAGAAAAACAACCCCACAGTTAGTTTTTTATATATATAATAGTTAATATTATGATATTAGCATGTCAGCCATAACTAAGTCCAAAGTTTTTTCCCCCATCTTGATTGCATTTTCTGTGCTCCAGAAGGTTCCTTCTTATTTCATAGAACAGGTTGTGTTTTAACCAAAAGGGACTCATGGGGTCGTCTACCATTTCTACTTTTGTTCACTCCACCCTTTGCAATTATCAGTTTTATCAATTATCTATTTCAGTAGAAAATACTGGAAATTTATGAATATGATTAAGGAGAATGATCACTAGTGCAATCCACTAGTGATAAGCTGAAATGAGAGGAATTTAGAGAGGAATAAGGCTTAAGTGTGTGAAAATTGTCATTTAAAGAACTTTTCTCAGATGCTGGCAGGCTCTCTGTTGCTTGATGCTTTCATACCACTGCCAGGCACTGTTTAAATAGACAGATTTAAAGTGAGGACTGATGGGCTTGATGCAGAAAGTGCCAGCTGGGTGTTTGGGTTTGCTTTAAAGAGAAGAAATGTAATAGTCTCCTTTCACTCATATCAAATCTCAAGTGATTGTAGCTAAATTTCATTAAATTTAATGAGTGAGAATGGAGAAGGAGGTAAATTCAGCAGCCTCTGAGCATATCTGTCTCTGGAAAAGAAGTGAATGTTTCTCAAAACCTCCCACTCTTGTTTTCCTCTTGAAATTTCCAGAAACCCCTCCACCTTGCTGTATGTGCTTGCACTTTATCCAGTCTTTAGATAAAGGAAGAACTTTCTGTGACAAGCTGTTTTCCAGCCACCCCAGACGTGCTGAAGGCCCTTGAATTTGGGGGCTGTATCCCAGTCCTGGGGGCAAGAAAGCGCCAGAGGTGCCAAGGGCCAGCAGAAGTGTGCATTACTTTTCAGATATCCTTCCCTACATTCCTCTCATTTCCTTTCACCCCGATGGTTGCTTTTTGGAGCAGCGTTTGCCCCTGCAGTTTTCCCCCCGGGGGTTTTGCTTCCCAACAGGTATGACAGGAAGGGGAGGCAAGAGAAGAAGATGCCCCCAGTTTTTTGGGGGGGTCTGTCTGCTCTGCCTATGGCTGGAGAGGGAGAATGCTGATGGCTGGCTCATGGTTTGGACTGGAGCAGCTCTTACTGCTGAGGCTGTGCTGAGGATCAGCCTCTTAGGCCACCACAGGGAGGATGAGAGGTGTGTGCATCTTGCAGGGCTGTGACCAAGGGCCCCTGTAGCCACACTGGGGAAGAGGTCAGAGCCCCAAATCCTCTCCAAATTCAGGCCCTTCCTGATGCTGCTCCATGGCCAGCAAGAGCTGCTGCTTCCCAGCGAGAGGGGAGGGCGACCATGGGCTTGCTAAATATTATTTGTTCCCCTTATTTATTGTTTTCCCAGCAGGCCTTTGACTCGGCCCTGTGTGCTGGGTTTGTGCTGTTGCCGGCCCCCCGCCTCCCCTTCCTGGCGGCCGGAGTGTTTGTTTTCCTGCCGGAGGACAAACCGCTGTTCCTGTGTGTGGACACATGCACCAGCTGGGCTGCCCTGGCACGCTGTTCTTGCTCCCACCATGTGCCCTCATGCCCTGGCAGAGGGTCTGCAAGACCAGGCACTGCTCACACTCTTCCTGGGGGACAGAGGGCAGGTACTGGGCAGCAGGGAGGAAGAGCCTGTAGCCCGCACAGCAATGCCAAAGGGGCTCAGGGCTGGAATCATCTCCGCCTTGCTGGAGCAATGCATCCACGTGGGGTGAACCACAGCTGTATTTACCTTGCAGGGCTTCCTCCTCCCACGCCTCTTCCCAGCCCTGCCAGCATGGGACTCGGGTGGCTGTCTGGCAACAGCCGTGCAGCCCTGCTGAGTCTGATCTCAGAGCTGACATAGCAGGAAGGAATAAAGCTGTCTGTCTGTCTGCCCACGAGCAGCAGGGCATGGAGGACCATAAAGCTCAGCTTCCCAGGCAGCAAGGAGCATCCCTCGGAGCACTCCTTGCCCCTTCACACCTCCCTGGGGCAGGCAGCTGCATTTTTGGGGATGAACCAGAAACCTATTTGTTTTCTTGTGGTGTTTAAAGAAACCCCAGTGGTGGAAGGGCCCTGCTGGTTGTAAAGTGTCCCTATGGGTCTGCAGTTCCCTGAGGTGTGGGAGTGACATGAGGTCAGTGGTCTCTGATGGGGATTATGAGGGCCTTCAGTGCTGACACAGGGAGATTAAGTGGGAAAGAAAGCCCCTGTCCCCCATTCCCAAGGAGCCTAAGGATGTATTTTCTAAGCAGAGCTGGGGCTTGGGACTGGGAACATGATGCTTGGCTGAGTGTTGGCTGTACAGAAGGACCAGGAACATTTTACAGAAATGATAGTGACTTGTTCCTTGCCTCCTCTCCCCTGGGATAAATGGGAATGAGGGAAAGCCTGGCCTGTGCAGCAGGGCCCCAGGGCTGCACAGCTCTGTGCTGCTGCAGTGCTGTGGGGTGTGGGCTGTGTCTTGGGGCTGGGGCCTGTGGGCTAGTCCTGAGTGAAGGGGGAAAGGCAATCATCTGGAAATGGTGCTCCGGGAGTCTTGCAGCAAAACCTTAGGAATCACGATCTCCCCTTTTAAGGCTTGAGTGATATGTTTGTGTGGTGCAGTGGGTGGCTGGTGGGTAGTGCCAGCACCACAGGCTGACTTGTGAGCCATGATGTTGTGAGCAAAAGAAATGCTGGTTGAACTGTAGCTCAAGACCTGGGCGGTTTTTGTTCTCTACTCTGCATTACACCGAGTGTGACTCTCCACACAGCATGTACCCACCCTCTGCTGTATCATCACTGCCTGCTGATGGGGATGCTCTCAGCATGGCACCTGTATTTGATGTATGGCATACACTGGGGTTCAGTAACATTTGCTCAAAAATGGTCTTTACTGTTGTAAGTGCTTTGAGATCTTCCTAAGGAAGGATCTGTTTCAGTACAGGGTGCTATTAAATTTCAGTACAAGTAATAAAGCAAATATTGCCGAGAAAATTAAGGGACGAAGGAATGGCTATAACCATCTTGGATAACTGCAGCTCAGGTGTAAAGGTTTTGGCTAAAAACTGAGAGCAGGAGGTTATTACAAACTCAACAACATGTTCAAAGAAATTGAATTATGAACTAAATAAACTGGATGGCTTAGAAAACTGTAGACAAGAATAAAATCAAAATACCCATGCTGCCAATATACCAGTGAAATCTGAACAGGATAAACTTTACCAGTCTCTTTGGGAGCAGCAGCCAGAGAACAGCAGGATGTTTTTATCTGCAGTGGAAAGAGAGCCCTGTCTGACCCCAGCGAGCCCCTTTAGTCAGAGAGGTCTGGGAACAGTTGAAAGAAACATTTTTCTGAGTCACTGCAGGGAGAGAAATGAGCAGAGGCAGCAGGTTGGGAAGGAAAGATTTTTTCAGCTGTTTGCTGAAGTGAGTGGTCTGTGTAGCCCCCGTGAGCCCATGGGGCTGGATGGGCAGCACTGCCTTTGGTGAGAGGCTGGAGGAGGCTGGACCCTCTTCCAACCCCACTGCTCCTACAGTCCTGGGAATTGCTGCTGCTGCTAAACTCCATCACTAGTGGGTCAGGAGCATGTCTTGTTGCATCCCACTGACCCCCACTGAATTTGGGAACTGCAAGGAGGCTGGGAAGGTCATAAATGTGTCTTGGTTTCTGGCCCAAGAGCTGTAGTAACCTTTTAAAACACGAAATAATGTGCGCACAGCCTGAGCTGGTGCTCGCAGTCATGCTGACTAAGTAGGATCATAAGCTCTGCAAGTCAAGCTTAGCTTTATTTACAGTTTCTGCTACAGGCTGCCTTGCTTCAAATGGGAGCATATGCTAAGGCAGGTCCTGTATTCCCCAAAGATACCCCTTTGGGGCTGGACTCCCACACAGTCCGGTGTGCATCCCAGAGCATGCAGCAAAGTGGGGAGCCTACAGACCCCGTGCTGGTCTCTGCTACACAGTCGGGGATTTTAGAAATGAGCCACTTCATAAGCCACGGAGCTAATGAAGCTTGGTGTCTTGATATTTGGCTTCTACCACGGATGGTAAAGCAGCAGTTCTTTTCCTGCCCCAGGGGTATTTCTCATGTCTCTCGTTTGTGTGATTTATCTGATATTTAACACTGGTTGACTCTTCCTCCCTGTAGCTTTCTGCTCAGTGGGGACCCTGAGTTCCTGTCTTTTTCCTGTTCCCTAACTGTTCTGAAATTCATAGGTAGTTGATATTCTTGAGGTTTCTAACAACTGTTAAATCTGGTTGAAACTTGTCAACTGGGTCTAATGTTACGACAAGCATGGGGTAGGCAGTTTAATGACAAAAGTCTTATCTTGACAAATTAAACTACAAGAGCTACAAACCCCATGAGAGGGTGTGTTTTGAGCTGGAATTTGATGGAAAACAAGAGCTCTAGCAATAACTAGCAAAATAAAAAGCAAACCTAACAAAACATTTCACCCCAATCTGTGCAAAGATGTTTAAATTATTGATGCAAAGGTGTCAGCTGGTCCAGCTCACCTCAGTCCCTTGCTGTGCCTAAAAGATAGCTGCAGAGTGAAAGCTGTGCCCTTACTGCCCACAAGCACAGTGATGCTTTAGGAATCAATTTTTTAAAGGGCTTTGATCTTTTTCTAGTATTTTTGAAATGAAAAAAATAACTAATACTGTGCTCTCTAAACACATCTTCCCATTCATCTCCTCCAAAAAGAGTAAAATATACTGAGGTCAATCACTTTTCCGACTTCCCAGTGCCTTGAACTAGGTGTTCCAGTCCCACCTCATCACCTGTCCCTTCCCATTCTACAAATCAGAGACTTGATCTCACTCCCTTTTTGATCTGAAACCCAAAGTCCAGGATTTCCATGGACCAAAGTGGAGGATATGGGGTCAAACATCAGGTTGCTCGCAGGAAAGTCAGAGAGAGCAGTTTCACCAAATCCAGCCCTAGCAATGCTCCTCTTTCTCTCCCTATGGACAGCCTTGCTGGGGTTTGCATCAGTGGGCAGGGAGAGGATTCATTGTGTGCCTGTGCCTTGAGCTAAACCTGGAATTTCCTCCAGAAAAACCACAGCTAATGGTACCCTAGCATGCCTTCATGAGGCCTATCAGCCCAGGAAGGGGAAGAGGTAAATATGAAACCAAACCTCTTGCCACACGATTGCACTTTGGCCAGTGTGGAAGAGGAAGGTCAGAACAGTGCTTTGGTAAGGGTGGCCTGAGCAACAGGGGTGGCTGGGCAGGTGCTGCCAAGCTGACCATTGCCTCAGGACATGAGACCTTGGCTGACAGGTACAAGTGTGATTTGAAGTCATCAAAACCAATGTGGTGCTTTCCATTAACACCTGTTCTTCTCAGAGGGGTCCTGGGGCAAGGCTCATGTTTGTCTGAGGGTGGCACTGCTGGGAGAGGACCGTATAGCCAAACGGAGACTTTTCTCATAAAGTTGTCCCAGTGATACTTTTCTTCTGCTTTTCTTTCCTGACTAGCTTATCTTTTGTCTAAAGAATGTGGCTACCCTTCAGCAGTGGTTGGATTATTGTCTCATCTCTGTTTTATAAACCCCTTGGGAAAAAAGACCTTAGAAAACAGAGGTTTATTAAATAATGTTTGTCATTGCTTCATTCCTCGCTGTTGGTTCCCGCTTTTGCTGTTCTCTGCAGAAGGCAGTGACAGTGGCTGCATTGGTGACTGCACACAGCTAGGCTTTCAGATCAAATTTGGCATTGACAAATGTCAGCCTTGGAGCACTGGGATGTGTTATTGACAGTGAGAGCAAAGCGCCTCATGGGAATAACAGTGGTTTTGCATGTTCTTTTAGGAGCTGTCTTTTGCAAACAACTCTGTTTATTTCTAGTACTCCTCTCCTCCCCAGTTAATTTGCTTTTAAGTATTGGAGCCTTTCCATTAGGTCTTGGAGAAAAGGGCCACCACCAGAAGCTGTATCCATGCTACTCAGAGGGAGACCAAGCTTACCCAAATCAAGTTCCCCTTCTCTGGTAGCAGAGGGTTCCCTCAGCTCTCATGGGAAGTATTTATCCAGTCTCTCCCTGCTGGAAGGCTCTCCACAGTTGCAGGGTTCTGCAGATTTGTCAGAGAAAGAAAGAGGTGATGAAGAGCTACATGGGATGTGGGTTGACAGGGCTCCTGATGCATTCCTTCCCTTTGGCACTCTTAGGCCCCTTGGGTGCCTCACTGAGGACTGTAATTCCTGGCACACAACCTGCCTCTAGAGAAGGCTTGTCTACGTGCTGGGTACTGCTGACCTCCCAATCCCTGGCCTTTCTGCTGCTTTCAGCAGTCTCCAGGCTCTGCCTCTTTGCATCTGTGCAGTGTCTGCGCTGGCCCTGTCTTCTCACCTCTGTTTACATCTCCCTTGCAGGTCTGGATGGATGCAGGCACTCAAATCTTCTTTTCGTATGCAATTTGTCTGGGATGCCTGACGGCTCTGGGCAGCTATAACAAATACCATAACAACTGCTACAGGTAACTGGAGCATGGCTCTGCTGCCTAGAGCCTTCCCCTCCCTGAACATCAGCGTGCAGAGGCTGGTGAACTGCTGGAGGCTACTGGCCTTCTGAAGTGTCATGATTTCTGTTCCTACTCAAGGTGTAGGAAGACTCTTTCCAGGTGTTTTTGCCCCAAATCCAGCTCTCTGTGCTTTCTACCCAAGGGACTTTTCTGTCTGTGCCATGTTTGACAAATTCCCTCTTCCACACCCAACAAAGTTAGATCCTCTTCGCCAGCTTTGTGACCCCAGCCCAAATGACAACCTCCCCTATTACATGGATGCACAAGTAGCAGTAGGGGAGGCAGAGCTGTGAGATCTTAAATGGCTGTAGACTGGACCCCTTTCACCTTGTGATTTATCCCTCCGTGGTTCACTTGGACCCAGTGACCTGCACAGCTGTCAGTGCTCTGGGTTCCTATGTGCTGCCTGCATATAAACCTGCAGAGGGGACTTCTGTTTCTTGCATGCTGGGCTGCATGAACAGAAATGGGCAGGTTGCCAAATAGAGTCAGGCTGCCAGGTTGAAGTGGTCAGGTGAAAATACCCTCATTTTGCAGTAGGTGTATTCAGCACCTGGAGCTGCATCCCCAGGGGTAAAAGGGTAGTGTGAGAGGAAAGAGGACACCTCTAGGTAGACCTGCCCACCTCTCCTCCCACCGTTTCTCTGCTGATTCTGTTGCTCCCGGCACTGGGTTCTCCCCCTATCTTTTAAACTCAAAATTGTGGTTGTTGCCATGGAAGGTCCAGGCAGACCACTGCTACATGATCCTTGCTTGGCATCTTTCTCTCTCTTCACCCTAGGAGAAGTTGATTCCAGCTGCAGGGGTGCCTCTCCAAAAGCAGGTGGGCTGGGACTCCTCTTTCTTTCCACGTCCCATCTCCCAGATTCAGTTTTGAGAGAAAAAGCTGTAGGAAAAGAAGAGATAATGGATCTGTCTCTGGCCTGCTACATGTCCTTGGACATTAGCCCTTTGCACCTCCAGTCTAATGTGTAGCATGGGGATGATGACAGGGACTGCTCAGCAGCAATGTTGTAAAGGGCTTCAGTAACTGCAGCTGGGAAATGCTGTGGTAAGGGGAGGGATGTCTGTTTGCACAGAGACCCTTTATGCTATTTGGCTTTTCTAGGAAAACTGTTCTTAGTTCCAGAACATGCCTATTCCCAGGCATGGACCCAGTTTCAATGAGTTAGTCCTGTGGTCTCCAGACTTGATTTGGATAGGCAGACAGACAGAACCAGGCTATAAGAGGGCAGAGGGACAGCAGCATGGTGCCCCACTCTTTTATGCCAGGCCCAGGGTAACCTTCAGTGACCTGGAACAGGAAAGGATGTGGGGAGGAGGAACCATTATTCAAATGGTTCAAGAAAGTACCAAACAGCATAAACCATTTCTTGTTTTCTGGGACAGTTAGGAAATTCTTCAGTGTTCCCTGGCTTTTCACTTTTTCAAGTGCAAATCTGCAGAGAACTCTTTCCTCTGGCCATTTTCTGCATGTTTCTCTCTATCTTGACACCTCTTCCCACCTGCTGGATGGCTGGAAAACACCTTCCAGTCCATGCCTTTCCAAGGAGGGTTTGACCTGTCATGCACACATCCAGGGGAAAGAGAAAGAAACACCAGGAAGGGACAGGAACTACTTGAAAAAAGTGGGAATTTGTAAAAAGTGACTCAGAATATAATTTGAATGGAAACCAGGCAGTATATAGAACTGGAGAAATGAGGTTCTGGCATGGCTTCCCATTGGGTTAGCTGGGCTTGGTGGAGTGTGACCCTTCTTTCCAGCTGGAGATTCATTGGCCTCTTTTAGTCTCTCCTGCCTTAGAAATCAAATGCCAAGGCAGAGCAATGGTGTTAGGTGCTGTGCAGTCCTTGACAATGCAAAGAGCTGCGCCTTGGAAGGAATAATCTGAATTTGTATGATATAGAAGCTCTGGATGAATTGTACTTTCTCTGTAGTCAACATTCAAGGAGGGGCAGGGAACCCCAAAAAAGCTAGATACCTGAAGACTGATGCAGAAAATCACACTAGGTTTGCAGAGCAGCATTTAATAAAGTCAGAGTGGGCCACGAGATGCCAGAAGGAGCACGTTCAGTTTGGTTCAGAATATTTCAGAATGATGCTGCAAATGTTATTGTTGTCCCCAGGGTTGCAGTCACAAGAGGACTGGGGAGACTGGAGCATGAAAAGGAATTGGATAGATAAGAGCTGTTTAGTTTAAAGAGTAGATGGATGAGAATGAGATGAAACAGAGACAAAAGGGAATAGATCAGAGAAAATAAATTGGATGGCTCTGTTTATCTTTTTCTCATAATGCAAAGACCAGGAGATACCTAGTAGTGCTGAGAACCAAGAGGATTGTAACTGGTCTGAGAAAGCTATTAAGGAAAAAAAGCATGCCCCCTTTTCAGTCAAAAATAAACTCTGGTACACTCTGCTACAGGAGGCACCAGGAGAGAGAGAGGGAAAAAAAAAAAAGAAAAAAACCCTGGCATTCAGATTCAGACAATCTCATGAGCAAGGACCTTAGGTGTGGAATGCATCTGCTGTCCTTGGGTGAGACTTTCCCCTGGGGAAATCCTGGTGTGTTGTCCACACTGGGGCAGCTTCCTGCAGCTCCTGCTGCTGAGCTGAGCTGTGTGCTTGGGAGAGACGCCCTGCTGTGGGCACAGTGGCTGGGGCAGAGGAGCGGGTGCTGCCCTGGGGGCTTCCATGGGGTGTGGGCCATACCTGGACCCCCACCTGGCTGATGCTCTGCCCCCTTCTCCCAGGGACTGCGTGGCCCTCTGCTTCCTCAACAGCGGCACCAGCTTCGTGGCTGGCTTCGCCATCTTCTCCATCCTGGGCTTCATGGCAGAGGAGCAGGGTGTGCCCATCGCCGAGGTGGCAGAGTCGGGTGAGTGGGGACTGTGGTGGGATGGGGCTGTGGGGGTGCTGTCCCTTGAGCCCCCAATGACAGGAACATGCCTGCAGGGCACCTTCCTTGCTATAGCTGCAGGTTCCTATCCTGGTGGGCAGCTTTGCTCTCTGCCAAAAACCAAGAAGAAACAAAAGCACACTCATGAAATAGTGAGATAAAACAGCTGTGGTTTGAGGTTAATCTAAGTTGCCTCTAAGGACAAGGGATTAGGCAACTGCTGCCCCTTATAGGGAGGGTGGTGAGGTGACTGCATGGCGTATGCCCAGGCTTGTGCTGTGCTTCCTGGGCTCAGAGACTTCCCCTGGCTCCCAGACCTTGCGATGGTGATGCAGCCAGTCCCCTTCCTTCCCCTCCTGCTTTTCCTCCACCCCTCCAGGAGTCTGAGTTCCACGCACAATGCAGGTATAACTGGAGTGAGAGGCTGCATGGCCACAAGCTGTACCTTGGCTGGGTGGCTGCTCAGGCAAGTCTGCCCCAGTTGTGTCATGCTGCTGCCCTGGCACTGCCCGCTCTGAAAGCCCTTCTCCCTGCAGGGCCTGGCCTGGCATTCATCGCCTACCCTCGGGCTGTGGTCATGCTGCCCTTCTCCCCGCTCTGGGCGTGCTTCTTCTTCCTGATGGTTGTTTTGCTGGGACTGGACAGCCAGGTAAAGGTGCAGGTGTAGAGTGATTCCCTGCCAGACAAAAGCTGCTGTCTTTCCAGGACAGGCTTCATCTTGGCTGAGGGGGATCCACCGGGACTGGGAGGCTGGTAAGGATGGGTTGACAGAGATGGGATCTCTGCTTTTTGCAGTTTGTCTGTGTGGAGAGCCTGGTCACAGCTCTTGTGGACATGTACCCCACCATCTTCCGCAAGAAGAACCGCCGGGAGACCCTCATCCTGCTGGTCTCCATCATCTCCTATCTGGTTGGACTGTTGATGCTCACAGAGGTATTTTGGGCTCAGACCACCTGCATGGTACTTGATGGGGCAGAGGGGGTCCTGGTGGGTGGTGAGGTCAGTGCTGGGGCTGGGAGCTTGCTGGTGAGTCCCACCCTGCTGCATAGCCTGAGGAGGCCGCCCTGCCCTGCCCATGCCATTCGCATTTTCCCTTCCAGCCCTCACCCCTTGTGCCAGTCACAGTCCTGACACTTCTCCTGCCAAGGCTGATAGCTGGAGCTCTAGACAGCCCATATTTTGGCTATAGACTTATCTTTACACAAGCCAAACCTTTTACAGCTCTAGCCTGTTGCATGGTAAGGGGAGTGTCTTTGTTCTGAATGGAACTACATGAACATTTGATGTAAGGAAACTCAGTGGGCCCGAGTATGCCCCTTATCTATTATACTGATATACTCTGTATTACTCTTGTGATTAATTGCCTTGGAGTCAAACTGTTCTGGTTTAAAACCTTTAACTGTGCCTACCAGTATGTGTGTGTGTATTGATGCTGCCCTGATGCTCTTTGCACTTTCTGTTTTCATTTGGGCATAATTTTGAAAAGGCTGCTTCTGATGCTGCAGGTGCAACATCGTTGCCTGGGCTTACCCACCTGCCTGTTTTGTAGGCAGCCTTGCAGACCTGGGCAGTGAAACAGCCAGGCTGCACACACAGTTACTTCCCTCTGCAAATTAGGAGCCTAAAGTAAATCAGATGGATTGCGTATCTTAAGGGGGTTCCCATCCTCACTTCCAGCTACAAGAGCTGCTTTGGTTTTGTCTTCTCCTAAAATATCCCCACAATCTCTGGCAGTCTGTTGCCCTGCCCTGCCCTGAAATGAAGGGTTGCAGAGACTCCTGAGAGCAGGGTGGCTGCATGTCCCCATCAGGCCTCAAGCACAAGGGACATGCCCTTTGCAGTTGGCTAAAACCCTGCCCCAGAGAGAGGAAGATGCCTCCACCTCTGGGGAAGATGCTGAGTTTGTTTCCTGCTCTGGCTCTTGCTCTTTGCCTGATTTCTCTTCCCTCTCTCCCTCCCCATCTCACTTTGCTGCCCACTTGGCCCTTCCCAGGGTGGGATGTATGTCTTCCAGCTCTTTGATTACTATGCTGCCAGTGGCATGTGTCTGCTCTTTGTGGCCATCTTCGAGACTCTCTGCATCGCCTGGGTCTATGGTGAGTATGAACCAGGGAGGGATCCCCAGCTCTAGTCTCTCAGGCTCTCGCCTGGTTCATCTCAAAATGCTGGTCTGTAGCTCGCTCAACTTGGTAATTGCTTTGCAGCACAAGGCAGACATCTAAACCCTCGCTTTGGTGCCCCTGGACTCAACCTGAAGGGGATTTCTCACAGGAACACCCTGGGGCATCTGCTCAGCAGACATCCCCTGCATGTTCCTTTGTGCTCCTGCTTTTGAGGCCTTCCTTTGTTGGAGACTTGCAACTGTCTGAAAAATCTTTTCCCAGCCTGTATATAGAGAGACCCTCAAACACTTTTGAGAGCCCTCTCTTAGCCTTGATGCTCACAAGGGACGGGTGAAACCTGGGTTCAGGTCCTAGCCTTGGAGATGATGAGAGGCTGGCCCTGCTGACCCACTGGACTGTTCTGGGGAGAGAGGAAGTTAGTCCAGGACAAAGCATGAACCTGGCCACACTCCTGATGAGCTCCCCGAGAGGACTGTTTGCAATGCTGAGGCTACTGCCTCATCTTCTGGGGAGCACCCCAACAGTGGTGCAGCAGGGCCCTGCTCTTGCAGACCCCACTGCCCTACTTCCCTGGTAGCAGTGAGGTATCTCATCCTCCCCCTCTTCCGCAGGTGCTGAGCGTTTCTACGACAACATCGAGGATATGATCGGCTACCGGCCATGGCCCATCATCAAATACTGCTGGCTTTTCATCACCCCAGCTGTCTGCATGGTGAGGGCCCACAGGAAAAGGAGCTGTGGGGAGGAAGATGGGCAGAGCTGGGTGCCTCTGAGAAACAGACACCTGCATACATGGAGAGGGATGTGCATGCGTGTAGGGGGTTATGCGGCCTACACGCATAACCTGTGGGAGCCTCTTGTTCTATGTGCTTGGAGCTTTGGGGGGCAGATGAGGTGCTGAACAAGGGGGAGTGCGGCCTGAATCAGCTGTGATAGAGGTGTTTGGTGGTGGGGTGAGCTTCTTGATGCTATGCCTGGTACTGCCTATGGGGGCTGTCCCAGCAAAGCTTGTCTGTTGCTGTCCTGGGTTGCTCTTTGTTACCACAACACTGTGCAGGTGTGTACTCACCAGGAACACCTCTCTTGGCTCATGGTGTTGATTTTCTTTCTCTTTTTTTTCTTTTACTCTTTCACCTTGCCAGGCAACCTTCTTGTTTTCTTTGATCAAATACACCCCGCTGACTTACAACAAGAAGTACGTGTACCCGTGGTGGGGTGACACCCTGGGCTGGCTGCTGGCCCTCTCCTCCATGGTGTGCATCCCTCTCTGGATCATCTACAAACTCTCCACCATCAAAGGCTCCCTCAGAGAGGTGAGGTTGGTGCTCTGGGACCAGGGCATGGGCTGTGCTTCTGTGTTGAAGTCCAGCCTTGCAGGGGGATCATTTGTGTGTTGCTGGTTAATTAGCAGGGAGCCCAGAATAAATCTCTTGAATGAGTCCATTGCTATAAGAGACTTGGGTTTTTAAGTTCTGTGTTGCTGGAGGGCTGCTCCAAGCTGGCTGTTACCTCTTCATGCCCTTTTTTTATTGCTTCTGTCTCTTTGCAAGTACTAATTGGAAAAAGGTCATTAGATGGAGAGGACAAAGATGATCTCCATGTTGCCCTTAACTGAGTCTTGAGGACTTGCTCTGAGAAAGCTCCAGATGCCCTGAGCATTGTGGTCATCTGAGTTCACCAGTCTGTGGCTGAGGCCATAGGTACAGAGTGGAGGGGATCACTGGAGATTTGGAGTTCCCATCACAGTCTCAGTGTCCTGGATCTGCCCTGCTTCCAGAGCTGCTGGGATCCATTGCTGGCTGCACTAGATCTTATTGAGAGGGCAGGGATCTGGAAAGTCAGACCTTGCTCCAGATGGGCATCCCATCCCTGCCATGGCTCATGGTTTCAGGGAGAGATTTCACAAACAGTCCTGAACTCCCAGGATCCCACCCATTCTCTGCACCCTGCGAATGTTCGAGAATGTGTTGTGACAGCAATGGGGCTCTGACCCCTGTGTCCATCACAGACAGGGAGGAGTGGACACAGGTGCAGGGGCTTGGCAAGGGCCATGCAGTGTAATGTGGTATGAGAGTAGCCCCTTGTGCACTTGCTGTCCCAGTTAAAGCCAAACCTGTGTGCACAGACTCATCCTTTGCAGCCTGTGCTGGTGGAGGAGTTGACCTAGATGTACTTGGTCACCAGTTTTTCTTTGGACTGCTTTGTAGCTCTGACCTGGAGCAAATGGAGGACAGAGCTGTCCTACCATGTCTCAGATCTCTCACATGCTCAGTGCTTGTCCTGGGACAAGTGGTTGGAAGATGAGTTTACCCCCTCAGTTTCTGAAGTGCTGACTGTCCTTGTTTTGGACATCTTGAGCATATAGGGATCAGACCTGCAGCCCTGCCTGGCTGGCTGAATGAAACCCAAGACTGGAAGGGAAGGACCCACATGACCTTTTGTCCTTGCAGCTGTGTTTAGTGCCTGTCTTTGCCTTCCAGAGGTTCTGCCAACTCACCTGCCCACTTGAGGACTTACCTACCAGGCCGGGCATGGGACAGCCCCTTCCCGCCACCAGATCTGGCCTCCTGACGCTGACAGAGCTCGAATCTAATTGCTAGGACTGGTGTGGCTCTCCCTCCCCTCCCCTCCCCCAGGATGGTTTCTATACAGCATTTACCACCTGTTGGATAACACAAGGATTCTTCACTTGCTGAGAAGAGAGGGATTTCTGGGCTGAGCTCCCCTGGCTGGAAGATTTGAAGGGCTGAGGAAGAGTCAGCCATGGAGATGGTCTGTGTGGAGTTAGCAATGCACCTTAATTCTCTCCCTGAAGAGGGCTTTGAAGGGGCAGATCAAGCACCAGTGTTCCTGAGCATCCCCAGGCTTCTGGTGGGCAGAAAGGAAGGACTGACCCTGGAATGGAGAGTGTCAAAGAGCCTCAGAGTTATGGCTCCAGTGTGGACTTTGGGAGCTTCTCCATTTATTCCATTAAATCCATGTTTTTCCCCACTAGATCCGCTCTGTCTCAGTTTTGTCTCACCAGCATCCCTTGCCCGTGGCATGTTAGGTGAGATGTGTGTCAACAGAGCTGTGCTGGGCTTTCAGGTCTGGATCTCTGTTGCACTGGCACAGTGGAACAGGAGGGTGGCCAGAGGAGAGGAAGCTTGGTAAGCCCTTGTATGTGGCAGCCCTGGGGTACCCTAGGTGAAGAGAAGAGTGCAATGGCATCTTCTGATGGAGCCCTTGCCAGCTCCCAGACAAAAGTGTCGTCCATGTGATGAGTCACTGGGCTACTCTCAGGGTCTGAGAGAAGCATGGATTGGTGTTTTTTTCTTGCAAGTGAGGGATCATGGGAAGCTTTCCCTCGTCTCTTCAGGTCTGTGTCTTTTTTATGCTGACTTGCCTTCCAGGTGCTTTAGGACCAGTCATTTCAGTTTTCCTGCATGTGGAAGAAGAGCTGAGTGGTGGAAACGGAATCTGCGTGTTATGTCAACAAACAGGGCCCCTCGTTTCCAAGCTGTTTGGGTAAAAAACCATAAAAATCAAAGAGCTTGTGTTTTAAGTGCTGTAGCCCCAGCATCCGAGGAGGGCAGCCAGAGGACATGTAACCCTGGGAAGCTGGATGGCTCCCAGGAAACCCTGAGGAAGCTGGAGCCTGGACAGAGCTGAGCCAGCAGCCGGCGGCGCTCAGCTTTCCGAAGCACAGACGGACACGGGTGGGCACCACGCTGCAGCCAAGGCTTCTGGTGACGCGGGCAGAGGAAGACGCGAATTAAAGTGAATTAAAGCAAATTAGAGCAATCCATGCCATTAGCCACAAGGTGGCCCCAGGACCTCACCTACCGCCACCGCTCGGGATGGGGTCCTTGGCTGGGTGACGATGAGACCCCTGGGTCACGATGACCCGGCCATCCCCCTTTCTCCCCTTCCCGGTCGCCTGTCGAGGTTTTCTCTGCAGAATCTGCCTCCGACAGGGAACGGTGACCCCAGCTGTGGCTGTGTACTGGTTTAGACTTCTAGGCAATGGCAAATTCTTGGGTTTGGTTTCCCTGGGCTTGGTTTTCCCAGGCTTGGTTTTCCCCAGTTTTTTAGTATTCTTGGAGCCTGGTAACCTGAGATGGGAGACAGGTCCGTGATGGAAAGGAGTCATGGACTTTTGCTCCTAGAGGCTGTGAAACTCTGACGAGCACCAAGTACTGAGGGGATTGCTGCTGGGAGGGTTTGTGGTGGTGTAGATTTAACCTCCAGGAGGGAAAGCCCACTGATGTATTTTCCTCTGGGGCTTCACTGGCTTTCTTCTAAAGTGGCTTTAGAAACCTCAGCTCATTTCCATCCTGTTTTCTCTTTTCCCAGCCTATATTCCACAGGGGGTATGAGGTGGGCAGGTTCCTTTGCAAGGCTGCATGTGCAACCATGGGATATGGTACTGGGTCTCAGAAATTACTTTTAGAAATGAGAGAACAGAGTTCAATACAGAAGTTTTTTCCTGCCTTTTTTTTTTTTTTAATGAATCATATTAGAAGCTCCAGCAACAGATATTTTTATTCATGTAATTTTAACCTTAAACACAATTTTACTTTCATTTTCCAGTAATATCTATAAGAGGCTTGGCCCACTGGGAAGAAATTTTTACCATAATAGAAAACAGTAATTGTGCACAGCTGTCTCCAAAATATGGCTGATGTAGAAAGTCTGCTTGGCTGCATGTAGGCAAATTTGAGTTTGCTGAAAGCCTTGTGACTTGTTTTGTTTCAATATAGCCTGGTGTCCAGTGAGCTGGGCATGTGGTTTATTGATCTGGTTATGTATGAGCCAGGAAACCTCCCAAGCCTGTGTTCTTACATGACCCAGTTGCTGTAAAGCTTTGGATGAGCTAGACAGGTCGAATAAGCAAGAGGATCAAAGGTTTTGATGAACACTTAAATAAATATCTTGTTTCTGATAGGAATTTAAGACAAAATATTAGAACCTATGACACCTGGCTTGAAATATGAATCAAGTGTATTCTGTATTGCTCATTGATAAGGTTGATGGACTAAATCTGAAATTAATATATTTGAAACTTCCAGACATGAAATCTTTCACAGCACTTTTTAAGACCCCATGGTTAGAGGGAACTTTGGTAAAATTTGGAATATGGTGATTGTTCATGATTTGGATTGTGGTGAAAGGGATTTTCATTGAATTCAAAATCAGCCCAGTATTCCTTGCACTCTGTGGAATTTACACCTATTCATACCTTCTCTACCTGGAGAGATGCTGTTGTCCTTTTAGACAGGAGGTGTGTGGTCATTGGAAATTTCCCACCTTCAGAATCCAAAACCTGCAACTTAGGCTGAGAATTCAACCCATTATTTTCTGGATAATGGGCATGAGATCAAAGACCCTTTTTTTTTTTCAGATGAGAAGTTCACCTAAAAATAAAACTGTCCCTGAGATTCTGCCCCTGGTTGCTAGTGCTTGGAAAGGATGACCTTTCCATCCATCTGTCTGTGAAAACCAGGCTCTGCTTTTCCCATACTGTGATGTTTGCATCAGTGGTGCCCAGGGAAGTCTCAGCCCTCCTTACCTAGGGATGGAGATGCCCAAATAGGGCTGGGGAGAGACTCAGGGATGGACCTGTGGACCTGTGGAGCAGGATGAGTCTCAGGGCGAGCATCCTGATTCCTGGGGTTTTCAGCATGTTTTAAGAGATGCCTTGAGAGGTCCTGTTCCTTTTGCCATTAGTGATATATACAAGACAGTTTTCCATGGCTGTTGAAAAATTACGTATTGTGAGTTGCTGTTTGGTGACAAGAAAGGTGGATGTGTTGGGAAAAGACAGGCCATGGTGCATAAATGGAGAGAACAGAGTAAGATTAACATGTTAACACATGAGATACATAATTCTGTGAAGCAGAGATCCACAAATAATCTGTTAAGTGTGTCCTACAGGCGGGTGCAAATGAGCATATCCCATGGAGCAGGGTGTTTGACTGAGCCCTTGTCTCCTAACATGGTTAGCAGCCTGCAGGATGGGGATCTGCGTGGTGCAGATAAGGGAAGCGTGTGTGGGAGCACAAAGACAGGAAGCTGTTACTTCTAAGAAGTAACCAGTGGTTTGCTTACCCCCTTCTCCATCTGACCTGCCCAGAGTTGCATCATTTTGGGCAGCCACATGTGCTTCTCTGTGCCTGCAGACTGACCTTGTCCTTCCCGTCCTTGTGCCCTGTACACTGGAGGTGTTTGCTGTCACAACAGATGTCCCACAACACCAGGCTCAGCCGCCCTGAGGAAGCAGGGAGGGAAAGCAGGAGCAAACAGGCACATACCCATGTGTCCTCTGCCTGCCTTTGTACTGTGATCCTCCTTGGTCTCTGATCAATAATGAGCAGTGCTGTGAGACTCAGAGAAGCTGTTAGACTACAGATGTTCCCCCAACATTGTTAGTCCTCCTTCCTGACCACCTTTATCACCAGCACTGGGCTCCTAAGCCATTTGCCCTTGCCTCATCCTCTTCTCCAATGGGAATGCTGTGAAACAGGGGATGTCTCACCCTGCCTGTACTTCCAAAGATGAAGGCTCCTGGCAGCCTCCTCTTCCCTGGGAGCCTGGTGAGGGAGCGGTGCTGTGGCTGCTGGAGCTCGTCATGGTTCTGTGGGGTCTCATTAACACTTGTTAATTTGGTCATGTTAACTAGTGATTAGTTTTGGTGGAACTGTTGTCAGAAGTCACAGTAGAAGTTAGCTGTGAACATAAAAAATAAATTATATGAATGCCTAGGAAGAAATCCTCTGCAAACAGTACTCAGTTGGCTAGGCAGGCTCTTGGCCAAAGAGGCAGCGGCTTTGTGCCCAAGGGAGAAGCATTTCTCCCATTTTGTTAGCAAAGGTGTTAAAAGGTGGGATTGGTCTGGACAAGTGAGGGCAGTGGTGGCTTCTCCTGCAGGTGGCACAGCCAGTTGGGCAGCCAGGGCTGCAGGGTTTGCTGTCTCCAGCACAAATCCCAGTGACTGCCTCTGCAGCTTCTGGTGTTTGTAGAGCAGGAGCACATTTTGGATTCACCCATAGGGTGTCATGCTGACAGACCTCTCCCAAAAGCTGGACTGGGAGGGGGGGAGGGAATGGACTCGTTTTGGCTTGAATCCTTGCATCTCATTGGCTCAGGGATGAGGGAAGCATCGTGGGGCCCAGGACTTGCTGCTGCCAGGGAGCGTGGCCCTGGTGTGGGCTGGTGTTGGCAGCCTGCTGCTCTGGGCTGGCTCTTCTGCAGGCATGTCAGAGCTGGCTGGAAGGGAGGAAAGGGTGGGGAGACCCAGATAATGGGAAAAACCAACACACGCTATGAGAAAAGAGAAGGGGAAAAGGGAGGTAAGGGTGCACTGCCAGCTGGCAGGGGGTGAGCAGGGTGGGGAGGAGCAGACCTTTGAGGAGGTACAGGGTAGATCTGAAGTTGTGGTTACCCATCCATCAGAGCAAAGGATGGTGTAGCAGGCTGAGTCCTGGTCTCCAGCTGCCCTGGGCCTGGCAGGTTGAGGGTATCAGGTCACTTCAAGGATAGTTCTCCTCTTATGATGGGAGGGGATGGAAACCCATGCAACTGGCTCTGAGCGAGCTGGCAGCTGCAGACGGAATGGGTACCTCTGTGTGGTGGGACAGCTGTGCTTTCCCATTCCTCCTGTGCACCCTGGGGCACAGCAATGGGGCTTCCTCTTGTCTTGGTTTTCCTGCTTGCAAAATCAGACAGTGCCCTCCCTTCTTTTGCAAAGCACCTCAGGGTGTGCTGTGGGGAGAGCTATGCAGATCTGTGTGCTGCTGATGTCTGAGCTGCACACAGCAGGGCAGGTCCCATGTCTGAGAGGGGTTCATGCTGCCTGGGGAAGGGGGTGCTTCGAACATTTCTAGGATTTATTGCAAGCAGCACTTTCCTTTTTGGGGATGGAGTGTTTAAGAGCAACCTCATCCACACTCAGAGAGGAGGAGCTCTGCAGTGAGGCTGTCATGCCCCTTAGCAGCCCTGTCCTACCTACACAGCTGTGCAGCCCAGGGTGCCTGCTCAGGGCTGACTCTGCCAGTGAAGGTGGCAATTATTGGTCAGGGAGTGCATCACCCCTTACCTTGTCCTCTCCTGAACACAGTCTCTTCCTCCTCAGCTGAGCTGGTCAGAAGGTGGTTTCTGGTTTTCAGTCTGGGCCATCACTCTAGTGCAATCCCTCACCTGGAAGCTGCCATGCTGAGATAAATGTGCCCCATGCCTGTAGCAGGATTTAAAAACACCATGAATTATTGCCTGATGGGAAACACTGAAGCCCGAGTGTGACTTCTGGTACCTTCTGGGCTGGAAAACAGAAATAGCAGCCTTTTTTTTCCTCCTGGAGAATGACTTTCACACATTGCTGGATAAAGTTTTCATTTAGGTTGACTTTCTTCTTGTTTTACCTGAATGTCACAGGTCATTTCCCATCTGCAGCTTTGCACAAAACCCGCGCCGTTCCTGTGAAACACTTCAGTGTGGATAAATCAAGTTTTTAGGTCAGTTCTGCTTACCTAGGCTTATCTCAATCCCCTTTTCATATCTGGATAACCTCTACTGCACCTTTTCCTCAGCTGCGCTGGGTCACGCCAGTCCTCCGTGACAGGACAGGCAGTGGCATTGTCCTTCGTGGGCAGGGACAGAGGCAGTGCAGTGGCTGTGTTGTGTAGCCAGCACATGGTGTTCACCTTGCAGTCTTTCAGGACTTCAGAGGCAGCCCCTAAAAGCTAGAAGATGGAGCCTGTCCCCTCTGATGTTGATGCCAGGTTGCGCAAAGGAAGAATCAGCCTGTATTTCTTTGGGTGTGGGACCAATCCATTCAACTAGCCTGTAGGGAAGGTGAAAGCCAGGGCTTTGAAAATGGCATGCTTGGAAGTTTAATCCCAGAAGCAGTGTACTACACTTTGTCCTTGGCTGTCTGTGAAGAAGCATCACCTGCTCCAGCTGCCACCCTAGCCCTCACAGCCCCATTGCCCAGCTGGTACCTCTGGGAGAGGGCTGGGCTGGCTCAGAGCTCCACCACCCTGGGGATGTCCCCCAGATCTCACCCTGAGCTGCTCTGCCCCTCTTTGCATTGCTTAGAAGTGTGGGCTCAGACCACCTGCCTCCAGTGTCAGCTGAGGTAGTACATTATACCCCCAAAGTAGATGGAGATGTTTTTCCTTACTGCCTCCAGTGCTGGCCTCAGCGGTTTATCCCAAGAATCCCACCAGGCACAGGGTTGATTCCCCTTACGCATGTCTCCAGCATTATTTGTCCCCAAGCTAATCCAGTGTGCTCCAACGCAATCTGAGTCACTGGCTTCTGGCACCTGTGGAGGATTTTTTTGAGACAACATTACAAATGACCTCTATAAGCGTGTGCAGGCACGTAAACCTACTGCTTCCCCACTCTGTGGTGGTGAGGGCTCGTGTCAGCTCCCGGTTTCCCACTGAGGGGGCTGAGGGATGCTTATCTGGTGAGCTCTGACACAGCTGAGCCACTGGAGCATGTGCTGGATATTCCCCACCTCCCACCCCACATGCCGCTCTGGTTAGGCCACATGGGTACCTGAAAAGGTCAATAGGAATTTGGAAGGCACATTAACAGGCAAAGCAGAAGACAAAACAGTAACAGCATTAAACATAATATTAAAAAAAAAAACTGACCTGAAGTATCTTGAGAAAAATGGTGTAACTGGAATGCCTGTTGCTAGTGTTGGTCATGAGAAGCCCTGGAAAAGTGTATCAGGGCTAGGCACAGAGGGATTGTGCACTTCTAATGAGCACCGAAATACTATAAAGATTCCTGCAGTACCTCTCCTTGCTGACAGAGCTCTGTCCCATGAACTCTACTGGCACTCAGCATAGGGCACAGGCATGGAGGGAGGGGCCTGCGTGACCCCAGGACAAACATCCCCCTCTTCACACACCCTCTGCCTTTTGTTCACCTGTCTGATAGTGTTAGTGAGTCTTGAGCTTGGCCACAGAAGAAGGTTTAGTGTAGTGCTCCCTGGAGATGGGACGATTCTGCACATTTGTAGGATGACTTTGAGGGATGTCACTATCCTGCTAAAGTGCTGGAGCTCCAGTGCAGTGGGACCATGTGGCAGTCAGACTGGGCCATGCTGCAGGGTCTTCAAGGGGGGAGGTCCCTCTCTGCTAAGGTCCAGATGACCTGGAGTCACTCCCTGACTGCTGTTGTTGATGTTTGCAAACATTGGTCCTTTACCCTGCCTGCCTGTGGCTGATCTCATTTTGCTTTCCTGTCAGGGCCACAGTTCAAGGTCTGGAGGGGTGCATGTTGTGCATGTTGTGAGAGAGTAGGGGAGAAAGTTCTTTTACCCTGATGCACCTCCCTGCCTGATGTCCCACCACCCACACGTGAGCTGGGTGATAATTTGGTGGGGGGAGCTGGTGGAAGGGGAGGGACAGGAGGAGGAGAGAGGGTAGTCTCTGCCTAAACTCTTCCTGTATCTCTTTGGCACTCGGTGGATTCCCTGCCTGGATTCCAGTGGGACGGGAAAGGACAGGACAAGATAGAACGGGAGGGGCTTGCCTGGGGGAGACCTGCGCAGGGTTCAGGTGAGTTGGGCGTTTGCTCATTGAGCAGATCTGGCTGGATGTGTGTGTCACACTGGGAGTGCCAGTGCCTCTGGTCCTGCCTGCTGCATGCCAGTGCTCTGGAGAGTGGTCCAGCAAATCTGCAAGGGGAAAAATCTTCCCAGCGTTAAACAAAGGAAGAGAGAGATGGAAAATAAGGAGCAAATAATCAGTTTGGATCAACCCAGGGAAAAGGTTTTTCTTTCAGTGATTCCTATAGGAAAGGACAGGCAGAGATGCTGCTGGGGGGCTGCTGGGAAGCTGAGAGCAAAGAGATGCCTGAAGGATGGATAATTGGTACTGAAGGTTGTGGCAGCAGAGAGAGAGAGAGAGAGAGAAAAGTACTCAGCAGAAAGATTGAGAAGAGAGATGAGAGCAAGCCAGATAAGGACAGGGATGAAGGGCAGATAACTAAGTGATAATAGGTACAGGAACAAAGATGCTAGGAGTGAAGTAGGCTGCAGGCATTTCACCTACTGCAAATATGAGTCAGTGACTCCCTCTCTTCCTGTGCTGCCCTGCAGAGGTACTGGCCTTAAAGCATTTACTTGGGGGCTGTAGCTCTAAAAGATGTACCTGGTAATGTGCTCCTTGCTCTTCTTTCCACCAAGGCTTCATCAAATTTACCTCTGAGTAGGGGTGAGGCAGGGAGACAGCATAGTTTCTGCATGTGCTAAACTCTGAGGATCTCGGGCATTTTTGTGAACAAACCCAAGCGGAACATGTGGGGGTTTCATAACACCTGATCTGTGTCTTCTTAAATCAACAGTGCTTTTAAAGTAATCACTGTTAGTCAAGGCTTTCACCCAATGCCATTGGAAATGCCATTGCCCTAGTTTTTTCTCTTTGGCAGCTGCTGATATGAGAGGCTGAACCTTGGACCTGACCTTTGAAGCTCTTCAACAGCCCAATTTTGCTGGATTCATGGGTGCAGATGTGGCCCTTGCAGAGGGCAGGCTAGAATGTCCTGTGCCATATCTCTGCTTGACGGTGCTCCTGGGCAGGGCTATAGGAAAGTTTTGGTGCCCCAGGCCGGAAAGCAGACACCTTGCCTCTCAGAGGGCGCAGGTGGGTTGCAGTCCCATGGCATTACAGTGTGGTGTTACAGCAGGCACTGCTGGAAGGCACTTATGGCACTACTGGAGTCATAATCTCCGTGCACCTCTGCCTGCACTGATTTCACCTGGTGTGACTTGTCCTGAGCACCAACTGGAGACGGCTGAGCCTGCCCAGAGTCCGCCAGGTAGATCCCCAGCCTGCACCTGAGCAGGACACAAGGTGCTGGGCTCCCCATGCAGGGCTGAGCAGTGTGGGGACAATCATGGTGGGGAGCTCCTGCAGCTCTGCTCTGCTGCTCTGTGATGTCTGCACACACATCTGGGCTGAGACACTGGGCTCTGCCACATCAGCTGTTGGCTCCCCTTGTCCTCTGTGTGAGAGGCATAAAGCAATGTGGTGTTGCCTTAACCTTGACTGCCTTTTGGGAGAGTTTTGCTTGAGTGCGCTTACCTCATGCTCCCCCTTTCTCGTCACTGACAGCAAGTGCCCTCAGGCTGTGCTTTTGGGAGGTCTGGCAGGGTGTGCCTGCCTGGGGGAGTTTAAATACCACTGCCTACAGCAGATGCCAAATTCCCTGTGCTGCTCTCCCAGCTCTGAACCATTGGCTGCAGTGCTGGCTCTTCTGCTCTCTTGCTCCAGTGGCTTTGCTGCCCATCCTTCCCTAACTCCTTGGCCGCCAGGCTCAGGCTGCACACAGGTGGCCAAGCCTTCAGGGCTGGCAGCCTCTGTCTCTTCACCTGACCTGCCCAGGGCTGCCAGGTGCTGTGCCTTGCTCTGTGAAATTGCTGCCCCAGCGAGGTGGCAGCTCTGTAGCCACCATGTCCGGTCCTGCAGACTCTGTCCTCTCTCCGTGGGGCACCTTGGGGCTGCACCACAGGTTGCTGCCCCTCTGTGCCCCTGTGGGGCCTGTTTGCAGAGCGGGTGCTGGAGCAGCACAGCTTTCACGCTCTGTGCTGTTCACCTGCTCTGCTCCTCCAGCCGGTGACAGGAGCTGTGCTGTCCCCTTGGCTGTCCACAAGGACCTCTGAGCAAGCCACTTGACATCAGCTAGACACCTCCAGCCACCAGGGAGGTGAATCTAGGGGCTCCCCTGGGGCCAAGCTGGCTCTGTGTCTATAGGAGACCTGTCACTGTGGTGCCCTGTAAGAAGGATGGATCCTGCTGTGGATGGGCCTCTTGCTGTGTTGCAGCGAATACAACCAGACTATGGGCTGAGTGGAGGTCTCAAGAGTATCTGGTTTTATGCGAAGACTGGTTTCTGGCCATATTTACACACCGTTTATGGACTTCATCAGTTAGTCTTGACTTTTTTTCTAGGTTAAAGAAAGAAGACCCCCGTGTCTCTGTAGCTCAGAGCAGGCATGGTGAACCATGGACACTGACAGAGAGTGATCTGGCCCTGAGAACAACAGCCTACACTGATTTTAGCAAGATGTTTGCCACTGATCCTCAGGAAAGTCCGGCCACTTTTAGGTACTTAGGAGGATCTCCTGTTCTGGCAGCAGAAGACAGGCCAGGAGCCATTTGGTACCCTTCTGAGCTGGGGGTGTGTGCTCTGAAGGGTAATGCTCTATAATCCTTGCAGCTTGTACTGCAGATGTACATGTCATTAGCAAACTCTCATTTGCTTCTTATCTCACTCTTTCTGGTGCCAGTAAGTAGCAAACTCTCTGACTGCAGAAGCATTGCTCTTATTTCACGTTGGAGAAAAAATAGGCAGAATCTGATCCTTGTAACAGCCTCCTGTGCCCCATGAACCTTGCTGAACAGATGCTTTGAGAATACCCTGCAGCCCACAGAATCTGGAAGTTAATTAGAAAGTGTAAAGAAGCCAAGTAGCTTTCAACAGTTCGAAACGAAAGGCATTTTAATTTCAGCTGCTGTCCTCTAGTTGATCAGTCTTTCTCGTGCTACATCTTTCCTTGTCTTTTTGCTTTTTGCAGCTGGAGTGAGCCATTCGCCAGCAGCACCTGGGTTTGGAAGCAGCCATCCCCGCTCTCTTAGATTGGCTGGAAAAGACTTACTTCTACTGCTAATACTTTCCTGTCCATCTTGCAGAGATGACCTATTCCAGTAGCAGCCCCCACTCACTAATTTAACTGGGTTTGTTCCTCAAGCTGTACCTTGGCACTACTGTTCCTCTCTGAGCCCTGATTTTCTCTCTCTGCTCCCACAGCTGCCCCCGCCTCCTGCCATCAAAATGCAGTGCAGGATTTCGGCTGCTGACTAACTGCTGGCTCTGATTGTGCAACCAGAGAATTTTCTGTGTCCTCCTGCTCCTCCTTTTGTAACAGCCTGCTTTGCTTTCTGATTCCTCCCTCCCCACCTTAAATTGCAGTTTACGTCCTTGGTTGCTGCTTGTTTCAAAATGAAACCAAGAAACATAAATGCAGTGCAGCTGCCTGCATTGTCACCTGTGATTCTGCAGCCCAGGCAGCACCTACCAGTGTCCAAAGGAGCTTTAACACTGTGCTTCCTCTAATAAGTGCTATTGGCTGCTTTTAAAAGACATCTGTTTGCAGTTGTCTCTGTTTCACTATTCCCTCTTGAGATTGTCCTCTTCTCATTTGCCTTTAGATAAATCAGCAGAAGAGGTCAAACGGAGGATGTTAACTTCCCAGCAGTAGAAGTTTCTGTCTTGACAGCAGTCAGGAACAGGTAGTAAGTTTCAGGAAGAAAAGCTTTAGGAGAATTGGCTTCTTCCTCTGGTGTCAAAACTCCATGTGGCTTCACTCTCAACTTTCTCATCTCTCTCTTGCTCCTTGTCTCACCTGAAAAACTCTGAAAAGGTCCTTTTTTTACCCTGGGGGAGGCTGAGGATACCACCATGTTTTGCTTTCAAATGACACTTTCTCTTCATATGCTCCTCTTCTTCTGATTCCTGCCTCTCCTCTTTAGTGGCATCTTGTTTCCAAATAAATCCAAAAAATGCTTTTCTCCTGCATATCTGCATTGTGTGTTCAGCACATCAGACACAGCGGGTGAGTGTCCACAGCACTTCAGAGGTGTCTTTGCTTTTCCTTGCCTTTTGTGACCATACTTGAAGAATCCTGTGGTGGTAGGTGTGGGACAAACAAAGTCCAAAATTTGTGACCAGAGGGAGACTGAGTAACCTCATTCAAATGTTGAAGAAGGGAACTTGTTGGTCTATGTTTATGGATTCCTGCATGCTGCCTGTTCTCCTTCCAGAACTTGTGGGAATCCAAGTGTTCTTATTTTTTCAGCAGTTAATCTTTTTTGGGAAAAAAATGTGGCTGCTTCCATGCACCATGCCCAGCCCTGTACCATTTCACACAGAGCTGCCTGTTGCACTGGGCACAGAGGAAGCCTCCTACTCTGTAGGAAGATGACAGACTGCAGGTCACTCCTGTGAAGGGTACTCCAGGCCTGGCAAAAAGCACCTCCTCAAAGTGCTGAGGGCTGAAAATACAGCAAAGCACCTCTAGAAGAGACTGTTGAGTTCAGAGGGAGCTGAGAAGGGGAGGTGGTGGTGGTGGCTGGGTGGGTCCAGGAGAGGGGTAGACTATGGATTGCATCAGATGGCATCTTAAAAGTTGGAAAAACTTTATGGCAGAGGGGAAAAAGAGGCTGGGAATGAAAGAGTCATAGGATTTTTTCCCCCAAAATTTGGTGAAGAACAGCAGAAAAGGTGCAGGTGAGCAGTGAGGGGCACAGTCTTTACTTTGAACTCATATATTACGGAGAGGGGTATCCAAAGGAGAGGATGTAACACAGTAGATGGCTGCGGCTGCCGTGGGAGAACCAAATTGTTCTTAGCTGGAAACAAGAAGTTATTTGAGTCCCCATCTGGCCCCAGAACATATAGGGCAGGGGCACAGTAGGATTAGATGTTTAGAAAGAGAACCAGGAGGTAAATAAATAGGCTTTATCACAGAAACAGCAGGCAAAGCCGAGAGGGAAGTAGTGGGGATGTGTAATGCTGTGCATGGCTTTGTCTGGGAAAGGAGAAGCTGTAGTTCATGACATGAAGGACCAAAACTTTGGGCACCAGTTTAATCCATCATCTGTTCCCAGCTGAAGAGGTTTGACTTCATAACCAGGGTGCTTTCCCCCTTCTTAAAATAGGAAAATGAAGCCACAGGTGCTGCATCTCCTCTGCTGTTCTATGTTTGTCCAAGCTGTGTTCCTCATTGCAGCATCACAGATTCTATCCTTTGTGTTGGCCTATTCAGGAGTCAAAGGACAGATGCAGAGTCAAAGCTCTGGTCCAGGTGTCCCTGGGGTGGAGGCTGGTGACAGGGCTGAGGCTGCAGGCTGTCACTCGTAGCATTCCCTTCCTGGGGCTTGGTGACAGGTGATTACCTGATTGTGATCTTCCCCTTCCCCCACATGTGAAACAGGTCTAACAGAAGAGAAGTAAAACACAAATATTAGTAGAAATAGGCTGGCTCTTGCATCCACCTCACATTAAAAGAATAAAAGCAAAGAATTAGGTAAGTCATCTCCTGCCATCTTCCTGTGACATCCTCAATAAACCCAGACTTAAACATCATTGTACTTGATAATGTGCCCTGGACTGCAGCAAATTGGAATGTGCCAAGGACTGTGACAGATCAAACACATCTCATTAAGTATGTGTTACTTTTTCTCTCACATTTGACAGTGCGTGGAGCTCTGCTCCTCTCAAAGATGAGGAGGCTGTGCTGCAGCATCGGAATAAACTGATTAGCCAGCTGGCAGGCCTTGCTGCAGGCAGGCAGTGGGGAAAGGGGCCTTGCCTGAGCTTCAGAAGCTGAGAAATGGCTGGCAGGAGGACACGATGTTTCCACTTCCCTATGCAGCCCAGCAGGCGAGCTAAGGGAAGAGGGCGAAGCTGGGACTGGGAGGATCTCTGTGCTGGTGAGCTGCTGCTGCAAGCCAGCATTTAGGGTGTGTGCCTTGATACTACCTTCTTAAAATGTGGGGTTTGAGGTTTGTATGAGGCTGTTAGAGGGCTGATTGACCTTTACACTCCATACTATACTATAGATCTATATGTGTTAGAGCCCTTGCTGGGTTTGGGATTATGCAAGCCATACCAGTAAATAGGTGCTTTCCAGCATATGAACTATAAAGGGCAAGAGCTGGAGATAAAATGGAGATTGATTCCTTAGTGCCCTCACACATCTGCATTTGACACTGAAACTGGTTATGCCCACTGCAGTACTGCCCATATATAAGCTTATATAAGAAATAACTCTAAAACCCTCTCAAATTTATAAGGGATCAGGATCTTATGCAATGTTTTCGAAGAGGCAGCTGTGTTAGCCTGGAGGATGCTCTTCACTGACCCCTGATTACTCTCCTCCTTGGTTTGTGCTCCCCTCGTTCTTGCTGCAGCCTCTATTACAGTGGTTGATGCTTTGCAGGAGATCCATCCCTTTACATTCAGAGTCCATGGATATCTGCTGATGATTTCAAAGCAAATAGGATGGGCCCTTCAGGAAAGCAGATGGGGGAACAAAGACTGTTGTTGCTTTGGGCACTTAGAGAGCAAGTGGTGTATTACACTGTGAGATCTGATTTCCTTTCTTTGCTTGAATAACGGAGGGAGGAAACATGTCTGTGTTAAAGAACTACTTGTTTTGCTGTGAACATTCATTAGAAGTTGTCTTTTCACAAGCAAGCATGTTTCTTTGCCCGAGGGCCTGATATATCCAGAGGGCTTGCATTTAGGAAATCATTTCATTTACGGAAGTAAATGAGATACTTTGATAATGATGCTGTCCTGTGTGGGGTAAGTGCCAGCAGAGCCAACCAGCTCCTGTTCCTGCTTCCCCCTTGCCTCACTGGAAACTACACAAAACAAGTGCTGTGGTGTTCCTTGGCTGCTGGGACAATTAGATGTCAGAGTCTACATGTGTGCTTTTATTTCCAGCTAGGTCATATTCCCTGGTAGTCCCTACTCCCCATGAGATATCTCATGCCCTGATGCTGGTCCGCAGGGAGATGACTGGAGAGAGACTAGGCATAAGGAGGGAGGGAATAGGTCCTGGTGCAAAGGGTGGATAGATAGATTTGGTGGTCCTATAAGGTAAAGGACATCAAAGGTGACAAGATCCTGCTCATCACTGAGTTGCTGACTGGGAGAGGTCCCTGGCCTGAGCTGCCTCCAGAGCTGTGCTCGGACTTTGCCTGGGAGAGAGCAAGTTGAAGTAGTCCAGAGCAGATCTGGGGGCAGTGGAGGTGTTAAGCAGTGTGGGTGATGCAGATTGTTGTCCCTGTTGCTCCCCGGAGATGAGGATGTCCCCTTAGGTGGCACAGAAGGAATGATAGATGTGCCATTAAAAAAACCCCTGGTGAACCACCAGCAAATTGAATCTGTAAGTTACTACTGAAGGAACCAAGCCCTGATTTCTTTGCAGTCTCAGATGCTGGAAATGGAAACAGAGATGCTGCTGCTTTGTTTCCGGTGTAGCTTCCCAATCCCAACATGGCAATGTTTATCCCTTGCTGATGCCAATCACTCTTTCAGAGGCCAAGCTGTGCTTACTAATAATGCCACCAGTGAGATGTAGCTAAAATTAGGACTTCCCTGTCATGGTTCACCAGATTCCCTGCTCACGTTAGGTCTGTGCTTTCTGTCAGGACTGACATGTGCATCCCTACCTCAGGAAACTCACTAGAGGAAGATTTTGAGAAGAATTTTTTTAGCTGTGACAGAGGGAGCTTTCTCTCTTCATGCTTTCATTTCTTCTTATAACCAAATGCCTGTAACAACATGAAAATGTTGTTGAAAAGAAGATTCAGTCTGGTCTGTGTGAATTTTGATTAGATTTAAAGTAAGTAGCCAATAAAAGGACTTTGTGTATGGTAGAGAATTGCATCTTTTAACAAGCAACCACTAACATTGCTTCATTAAGATGATGCTAAACGTAATGCAGGATTTAGTAGAGACTGGAAAATGTCTTAATTGTGCCACTCTGGAGGCCCAGCCACATTCAACATATCTCCTCCAGCAGTGACTTCGCTCTGTTTCCACCTCTGGGCTTTTTCCTGCTGATATTTTCACTGCAGCACTGGACTTGTCTAATCTCAGAACTCCCTTGCCCGAACACGAAACACCTCAAAAGTATGAGGCCCTTTTGCTCATCCCAGGGGCTTTGTTTCCTTGCCCTGTATTCTTTGAAAGGTTGGGCAAAGGTGGAGGATTGGTGCTGGTGCCTGCTTGTTAGTGGAGAGAGCCTGGGTCAAATAAGTGCCTGTGCACTGCTGCATTGTCAGGCTGTGGTAGTGTAATGTGGTGTCCAGGGGGACAAAGACAACACTCCTACCAGTGCCTTGAGGTAAGACAGTAGGTTGTCCATTCTTGTTCAGACTATTAATCTTATTAACATTTCTCTTCTGCCATTTAAAAACAGAAGGAGACAGTTGTTGTATAAAGCACACTGGGAGAAGAAACTCCTTCTGCCTCCATTCCCTGCTTCAGCTTCAGCTCCTGTTCTCTTCCTCTGAACTGCTGTTTCCAGTTTAACAGGCCAGGTTTCAGCAATGATGGAGGTGCAGAGCACTTAGTCAGGGGCAGATGGGAAGGATGAAGAAGGGAGCTGTGGGGAGGGAAGGGTGAATTCAGGGGTTAGTCCAGTAAAGGGGTAGTGTGGGTGAGTTCATCTCACCTGATCAGTGACCTTTCCTCTATCTCTTCAGCTCAGACATAACTTGGGGATAATACTTTGTGCTGACACTAAAGAAACCATTTTTCTGGAGGATAATGGAACCTCAGGCTGACACAAGGAACACAACTATTGTGGTGACAGGTCCCCTCCCTCCCTCTTCCCACCAACTTGTCCTGCAGTGGCTCTCTACATCCCATGTTCTCCTTTTCTTCTGTCCCACAGAGCCATGACAAGAGCTGTGCCTAAAGAAGGAGAGCCCAATGGGGCCATTGCAGGTCCTGAAGAGACAAAAGTGGAGGAAATGGAAGAGAGAGGCCAGTGGCATAGCAAAGTGGAGTTTGTGCTGTCTGTGGCGGGGGAGATCATTGGTCTGGGTAATGTGTGGAGGTTCCCATACCTCTGCTACAAGAATGGTGGTGGTAAGTTCACAGCATGCATGAGATGTTCTAGATCTGTAGCCATGACAAGAGATACGTGCATGCCTGAACCCATTTCTCCTATGCCTCATGTGCCCCAACATGCACTCCCTTATCTTCTCCTCTAGCAAGTTAGCTCCTACCAAAACCAGGAGGAATAAAAACTGAGGGGTGAATTCAGCTCTCCAGCAGGTATTGTTTCTGAAAGCAGCAATCTGAAGTTTGGATGCTGAATTAACTCTGGTAACTTCTTAAGGCCCTTGGGTATCTCAAGAATTTGGTGGTCTTTGGAAACTATCAAATGCTGTGAATGGTCAGAAAGCCACCAGCAGCCTCCTCCTACACAATTCCCTTTTCCTACTCCCTGTGTCACCTCCACCTCTCTCAGGCCCTTCCTCACAGAGGAAAAGCTTAGATGGTGCTGGTATCCTTGCCAAGGCCTGATACCCCTTAGGAGGACATTTCTCCCTCTTTCTCAGGAGCAGTTCCCCCAGCCATCAAACCACTGCTAGGAAAACCCATCCCCAGGAAGGATTCATTCACCTTCCCCTTTGTCTCTTTGCATGGCTCTCCTTTTCCAGTAACACTGCAGTAAGATCATTACATGGTTAAAAATTAAACTTTCTCATAACAATAAAATGAAACGGAAGGGAATAATTGACTGTCACTAACTTTTCTCGGTGAATCAAAATCAACTTTGTAAAAGAAAAGGAGGAATAACAAATTACATGTCAAATACAGCAATAACTTCTCTTTTGTTCTTGTTCTCTAGAGACACCTTGAAATAACACTCTGGGACTTGCTTGTTCCCCCCACTTTAAAATTCCTTTCTCTGCAAACCATGCCACAAAGTCCTTTTTTGTCCAAGGTGCCGTGAGCTTTCACCAATAGATGAGTGGTTCCACTGTAGTTTATCCCAGGACTTCCAAATTCCAAATCAAAGAGGAGACAATACAATGACTCCTCTAAAACAAAGAGGGACTGGGTAAGAAATAGTTAAAGAAAATGGAATTGAGTTTTTCTTAAACCTGGGATGGTTTTTAGCAGATCCTCCAGTCTCCTTTTCCTATGTTTTGATGGGAGGCACCAGAGGCACCAAAAGCAAGTCAGACCAGCATGGGTTAGTAAACACTGGGGGTGCCTCTGATTGAACAGCCCATTCTGCAGGGATGCTTTGAGAGAGGAGTCATGGTTTTTGCATGGAAAATTTCTTCCTGAGCTCAGATGATATCTTTGCATAGTTTATGCCTATGGTATCCGGTTCAGTAGTCCTTGCAATTTGTATGATAATTAGTGTAAGTGAAAAGGCTACTTTTGTTCACTTTAGATACCTATTGAATAACTTTTTTTTTTTTTTAATTAAACTACTCTGGAATATCTAAAGCTGCAATTCAGAGGGCAACAAGGCTAGGCTTGGGAAAGATTAGGATGGGAGAGGCCTTCCCTCACAGCTCACATGCTGCCTTTGCAGAAGGTATGCCACTGCTGTACAAGGTACAGTTCTCTCTCCAGGGCTCTAGGGAACCAGATGGCTGACAAACATCTGGGACAAGGCACTGTCTTTCCTATGACACTGAGAGATATTCTCATCATTGGAAAAGTCCTTGAAATGGCAAAGAAGGCATTTTCCACCTATAATTGTTGCATCCCCGTCCCTCCTCCCCAAACTGGAGACGGCTGTCCTGTCACCTTTCTCCACCTTCAGATGTACTGAGATGGTTATAAAGCTGTAAGAGAGATGCCATAGAAACAATAACACTAATTTGCTGTAAAGCAACCAACTGTAGCCTTACCTATGGCTGCACTATCAAATTTGATCTAATTGCTCAGCATCCTGAACTTGCTGTTGTCTCATAAGGAAAAAGAATCTGCTTCTGGGGGCCCCTCAGTCCTCCAGCGGAGCAGCAAGTTGAGGAGGGGATCACAACTGGACTTTCAGCTGGTAACTGCTCTGGGATGGTTAAAAGAGACAAGGCAATAGAGGTTTAACAAAGCCCTCATTGCTCAGAGACCACAGTGGGTCAACCTCTGAGACAAATGGTATCAGAGGAGAGAGTCTGGAATCTGCTGAAAGACTCATCTGTGTGCAGGATGATAAAGCTGTCTTGCAGATTTGGCAAACAGATAGATGTCTTGCAGCACCAAAAGCAGCAGCTGCCTCTAGTTCAGCACATGCAGCTCCCTGTCCCTGCTCTGCAAACCTGGACTGACCCTGAGAACCAGCCTCCTTCCCTCTGGCCCTGGGTCTCCTGCAGCTACACACAGCTGTGTTTAGGGGAAAATTTGGATGTTCCTTGTTATTGTAACATTATTGGCTCAAAAACAAGGGCAAGTGTTCCCAGTTGCTAATTGTCACAGGAAGGGACTTCAGTGCGGATGCCTGGTGCTGGCAGGAGAGGAAAGGGCCTGGAGGGGGACAATGTCTGGGTTTGGCTGAGAAAGGGACCCTCATTGTGGTTGCAAGCACTGGCAGCGAGAGCTACCCATGACCAAAAGTTTACTGGGTGGAGTGGCAAGACCTTGACACTTGTTTCAGCGAGGAAGACAGCTGCCTTAGCTTGTTTGGAGCAGAGTGAAAGTGTGAAAACCTACACTAAAGATCAGGAGAAAGGCAGTGAGGTGACAGAAGGAAGGTCAGCTGTGAAAATGACATCTCAGGACCAGTTTTGAGCAGAGCAGTGAATTTACTGGGTGTTTTGGTTCGGCAGCAGAACTGAAAAGAAGGAAAAAAGATTCAGACAGCTAACAGGGCATTAAACTACTTTTTATAGGGCATTCAACTTTGATGGTTTTGTTTTTGTCTTTTCTGATGCTTTGCTTATGTTGGTCATTGTTTCTGGAAAAATCCTGCTTTTGCTCTCCTTCTTCTTCCATTTCCTCAAGGGTTAATCTGAGTTCTATTTTAGGCTGATTTCTCTTAAGACATTGTAATAAAAAATTGATTTCGAAGGGAGAAGTTAACCTTCTTCATTTTGAAAATGCTGGAAAGATACTCTGTTACCCTTCCCCTATTTCCATTCTTTTGGTGCAAACTGCTTTTCAAATTTGACATGAAATATACCTCAAGTAAATTTATATCCTGGCAAATTTATTACTTAGTAAGAAATGTCACCAGCCTCCAGGTTTATATCCTCTGGGCAAGTGGGAGTTTTGCTGTGACTCTCATGAAAGGCAGAACAAATGTGGTTATGTGAAACAAAGACTTAGTTGGTTCACCCCACTCCTGCTGAAAACTGGAATGAGGTCAGGAGCATGAAGCAGGGAGAACTCCAGCACTGCCTTTTTTTTTTACTTTCTTTTATCCCCTTATCTGGCTACTCTTTACCTTTAGGTTTTGGCCAAGAACAAATGCAGAAGTACTGCATTTGGCAGTAGACAGACCACCCTCGTATTTTTTTCTGAAAAATGATGGTGTTGGAGACCTTGCCTCTTTAGCAGAGTTTGCACAGTTAATTCAGAGAAATATTTGTGTTTATCTAGCTGATTCCAGCTGTGGCCCCAGGTACCTGGCAAGGAGTGGTGAGAATAAGGTTTTTGAAGAGGTTTCTGAGGGAGCATCTTAACTCTCTCTGCAGGAGCCTTCCTCATCCCTTACCTCATCTTCCTCTTCACCTGTGGGATCCCCCTGTTCTTCCTGGAGACAGCGCTGGGGCAGTACACGAGCCAGGGAGGGGTCACTGCCTGGAGGAAGATCTGTCCCATCTTTGAAGGTCAGTCAAGTTACAGGATTTACTGGCAGCACTTTCTAACAATTAGTGACTCACAGCCTTTTTCAGAAATGTTGTTATTATTATTCTTTTTTTTTTCTTTCTCCTTTATTCTCCCTCCCTTTCTCTCTCTCTCAGCCTTGTTATCCCTCCTGGTGACTGCTGTGTGTGCAGGGGCAGTTCCCTGACCCCTCTGGAGGTGACTGAGGGTGTGTGGTGCTGACCAGGGGCTGTGCTCGTCCAGCTGAACTCCAGTCTCTGCTTTCAGAAGCTCAGAGCCTGGGAGAGAGGAGAAACTGGATGGCCAGCTTGCAGGAGGAGGATGGAAGTGTCAATACATAGACACCTGCATGTAGTGCAGGACAAATAGTGAGAAAAGGATGAGGAAAGCTGGCTGGTTTATAGTGCTTTCCCTGCCCATTGAAGTGCCCAGACTGCTGTGGCAGCTTTTGCAGGCTGGTATCATCCAAACTGGAGGGAATCACGTTGCATGTACTGGTCTGACAGCCCAGAGATGGCATGGGGTTTAGGTTAAGACACAGATATAAGAACCACGACTTCTGGAGCCCCTGGGAAGGTTGTTTAATGGCATTGATGTATTAATGAATCTGATTTCCTCAGTTCTGCTGTCCAGAGGAGAGCTTATTACCCACCTTTTGCAGACAGGGAAACCTGTGCTCAGGCAGACTGCAGGCCTGGTTAGTTTGCTCGAGCACGGGTGTGCAGCCCTATTTGAAACTCCCTGGGGACTCTGGGACCTCCTGCACTGGAGACCTCTGGCACAGGCCTGGAGGTGAACAGCAGTGGCATCTCAAAGGTCACTGACAACCAGTTTTAAAGGAATGAGTTGGGCCTTTCTGGCCTGAGTATGGTTCTGATGTCTCAGCGAGCAATGGGCACAGTCAGCACAAGACCAGTGCTGTGCTCCTAGGTCTGTACCTTGGCCCCTGCACCTCACTTCATGTATATTGGCTGCGAGAACATTTTTTTTGCTGAGTCTTCCCAGGAGTAAGAGATTCACCTGCATTTCTTTTCTTTAAAGGCTAGAGTTGGTTTTCCTGAAGGAGAGGCACTGCAATGCAGTGGCACTGTAGTGGTCAAAACATTTTTTTCACATCAGCGTAAAGTTTTCTGGATGTTCCAACGTAGACCTGTCTAGACATACCAACAATGTGTCCTGTCTGCATGCACAGTCTCAAAATCCCTTCTCTTTCCCTTATGTAGGTCTTACCCTATTGTCTAGTGAGCCATGTTATTAGTGTTGCAAGCCTGATGTGTTGGGAGTTGATTGGCAGTCCCATCTTCACCTCCTTTGCTTTCCTTCACAGGAATTGGATATGCCACACAAATCATTGAGTGGTATCTGAATATTTACTACATTGTCATCTTGTCCTGGGCACTCTTCTACCTGTTCAGCTCCTTCAATTCAGTGCTACCATGGGCTAACTGCAATAACCCCTGGAACTCAGGTACAGCTTTTACCTTCTTTCCGATGCCCAGAAATTATTTGGGATTTGTAGAAAATATTTTTTTTCTTTGAATAAGAAGCTCTTATGAGCTGCAATATGATTTCACAAAAAAAAAAAATCTGCATTTTCTGGCAAGTGGGAGAGGTAGGTGGGAGAGTTTTCAAGCCGGTCTTGCGTCCTCCTCATGTGGCAGGAGCTTTTTATTAGCTCTGGTACAACAATTTATCTTACAGTTCCCTTACTCCACTCCTTCAGAGTTACTGGGACAGTTGTTGCCAATGCCTGAAGAGTTTCCTCTGCACTTGCAGCTTTTAGCTAAATCAGGCCAAGCCTGCACTGGAGAATTTTGCCAGTACAGGTCCCCAAGTGAAGGAACCAGTAACACAAAACTATAAGGGCACTGTTTTCCTGCTTTAATCACATCCATACAGCCTCTATACCTTCACACTGGCCAGGGATCTCATCTCCTCATGCCCACAATTCATATGATTGCACCCAGCAGAGAAGACCTGGCTTTGGTTTTACTCAAGGCACTGGGAAGATGGGATAGACGTGAAGCAATCCTCATGAACCTCATGTCCTTGACAGGACATTTTTAATGTGTTGAACAGGTTGTTTTGTTTGGCAGCAGCTTGGTTCCCTCCCCTTTTCTCTTGTCAGATGATCAGTTTCTGTGATGTGTTAAATTTTTCCACCCCATTGGGCCATTCCCTTAAAGCTTCCTCTGTCCCTTCATCTCAACAGAGGTAACCAGCCTTTTGAAGAGCTGATCCTATTCCTTCAGCTCCCCCAGCATGGTTTGTTTGTGAGGAAAGCCACAGATGTTATCTTAACATACACAAGCTTCCCAGCCACATCTGGGCTTCCTTGTTTTTCCAGTGGATTGTCTTTTGCTGGTGAAATGCAAGATGAGGTGCATTTCTTGGATGCATGGCATCTCCTCTGGTTTTAATAATTTCATGCTGTGTAAATGAGTTGGGGATGGTAGAAGAGAACATCTGCAGTGTGTGTGAACATATGCATGCATGTGTGGACAGGGAATGGTACATGATGGGGGAAGAGAATGGGATTTTCTATCCTGACTACTCATAGTGGTTATCCCTTGATAATCTATATTTTGCAGCCATCTAGATTCCATTTGGCAGGGAATGGTTCTCTCCTTCCCCTTTCCCTTTCCTGAAGCCCTCTGGCTACTGCTGGATTGGGATTCGTAGCTGGGGAGAGCCAGAGTTTAATGAGATGCTTAATGAGATGCAAAAGTTTAATGAGATGCTCTATAGCACAAGGTAAAGGATCTGTGTGCTGCCAGAGTGAGGGTTAGGGTGCAGAGGGGAAGGAGCATCCCCCATGAAGGAGCCTTAGAGAATTTCTTTGGCTCATCAGCTTCCTTTTCTTTTGGTAGATCTCTGTGTGGACATTCTGAATAGATCCAGCCTGGACAACAGGACCTTGCCTGCGAACGCCACCTCCTCAATGATTGAGTTTTGGGAGTATGTGATCGCTTTCCCTCTGTTCAGGCTCCTCTCTCATCCAAAGGCTGCAGCTCTAGGAGTATCTGGGTGGTGGGCTGTGCATCTCTGTAGGACCGAGTGAGGTGCCACATGTCAGACCTGAACATGGGGAGCACAGTGAGCTGCCAAGGAGATTGGCACAGAGCCCAGGGGCGTGAGGACTGGGTACACCCCACGGTGTGGCTGCCCGAGGGTGCTCATGTGCACACCTGCACAGGCATGTTCTCTCTTTGGCACTGAGGTGCCTGGGTGAGTGTGGCCACCGAAAGAGGCACCAATATCAGATGAGGAGTTGCTAGAAGTAGGGGATGCATGTGCTGGGTGTTGCAGGCTGCTGTTGGCAGGTGAGCATGAGGGGCCAGGGCAGACTGAACAGCCCTCCGCAGTGAAACAGAAAGGACCAAACTGCCTGTTCTCTTCTTCTGACCATGTCTTGCTTGCTGCCTAAGGGAAGTGGTCGATCAGGGTGCTCAGGTGCTCCCTGGAGAGTGGGGAGCTGAGATGCATTTGTGAGATGCCAGGGAGGAATTTGAGGAGGTTTGGTCACAGGGGTGGAGGCAATAATGCATTTTCTGATGGAGGGGTCTTGCAGCAGGCCAGACAGTGTCCCAGAGAGAGGTTGAAACAGCTGCTGGTGCCACACTACCTCTCCACACTCTGCTGAGGAAGGTCTTGTAAAGAAGAGGGGTGTCAGGGACTCAGCTTCAGCAGTTGGGACTTTTTGTTTGTTTGTTTGTTTGCTTTTGTCTCCCCCCCCCCCATTTATGTGTCCTTAAGTGTCTCTGAAAGGGTTGAGTGTCCTTTGTCTGTTGCAGCCACCACAGGGCACATAGAAGATGATAAGCACCCACGGTTGCAGAAAGAGTCTGCACAGTGCTGGCCCCCCTCTCCTGCTCTGTTCTTTGCACACACTTTTTAGCGAGAGCTGAGACTCCTCTGATATGGTTGTTCAGGTTTTCTGCAGAGAGAACAAGGGGATCTGAGGGGACTAGTTTGAAGAAGGGTGTGCAGAGGAATTGTAAGTGTGGGGTTGGGCTTCTGGGTGCTGCACGAGCTGCAGTGCTGAGCTCTCATGTGGCCCACCCTCACGAAGGTGAATCTTCAAGGAAGGAGGTTGAAGGAAAGGCATGGGAATCATAAAGATCATTTATGCTTATATATAGGGTGTCTGCAGTATATAGGGAGGAAGAGTGATGGCCTAGTGTGATGATGGCATTCTCACTCACCCCTGCTTTGGGTTGAGTAGTCTCTGCTGGGCATCTGCCAGGGTTGGGGAGCAATGGGGAGCAGCTGATGATTTTGTGCAGCTTGGGTCCAAAGGGCACAGCACCATGAGTTTGGAGAGTGGGAGAATTTGGGCCAGCTACAAGACATGGTGGAGCAGCATCTGCAGAAATGAGGGAGAGGGGAGCCCTAGGCAGAGCTGGGGTGATTCACATGGCTGGGAGCCCTGGGCAGATGTGTTGCGGATAGTCTGCTAAGATTTTGGATGGGGTAATATGGGAAAGGTCTGTATGGGTGAGTTGGGTCTGGGGTGTTAATGCTTCTCTCCCTGTCCCCGGACACTGGCAGGAAGCGAGTCCTGGGGCTCACGGATGGTATTCACAAACTGGGCACTGTGCGCTGGGAGCTGGCTCTGTGTCTCCTGCTGGCGTGGATCATCTGCTACTTCTGCATCTGGAAAGGGGTCAAGTCCACAGGAAAAGTAGGAACGGAGATTATCCTCCCAGTCCATAAGCCTCCTTGTACCCATCCTACTTTTCTTCCCCAATCTCTTTTCCTGCTTCATGAAATAGAGGCAGGAGACACATTAGCAAAGTCAAACCTAAAACTTGGTGAGGCCATACTGATTTACACCAGTGGTGTTTGACCCCTAAAATGAAGACTAGAAGAGTAGCTCCAACAGGAAGAGGAGAACAGGGAAAGAACTGAGGGGAGCCTTGAGTCACTTTTTCCCTTGCGGATACCCAGAGCGGCTGATGGATACTCCCCAAGTGTCCTTGGGAATCGTCCGCTCACCAGTGCGTTGTCCTGGTGTAGCTTGCTGGTGTTTTTAACAAGATCATCTGCAGTGGCAAACTTCCCATCCCTGGCAGTAATTAAACACTTGAGCAAAACAGACAAGCTGCTGCCTGTAACCAGATCAGTGAATAGATAATGAATCTCTCCTGCTTCTTTATCCTGCAAAATACTTGCGGTGAGAGAAGTGTCTTTGTGCTCTCCTTTTTCTTCCCCCTCTATTTTTTGGCTCTGAAGGTAACTTTCTGCATTTTGCTAGTGAGGCTGGAGCCAGAGCTCCCTGCCCATGTTGGTCCTGTAGAGCAGGTGGACTGGTTTTCCTTCTGGAGTGAATGAGTGTGTGATGCCTTGGGCTGGGTGTTAAGGACACTGCCATGGCCTTGACTTACTCAGGACCACTTTCCTCCCTGGAATCACAATGAGATGGGTGGGCTATTAATGACGGTTGAGTCTTGTGGGTATCCAGCGGATGTCCCAATGGCAAAGGGAGGGGGATCAATTTCTGCAACAGATTTCTTCCTTCAGGTCACTATCTCTACCATTGGCAGGTGTTTCCTGGAGCACTGGACACCTGTATTTCAGCATGAAATCATTTCTGCTACCTGAAAACTGCACTGGACACCCATTTCAGCAGAGCAAGACAATAGCTTGCCAAGACTGGCTCTTGCTGGTGCTGACCTGTTGTCCACCATTTCTCAAGGAGGGAGAGCCAGACTCCACTTCTATGGGGAGAGGCAACGCTCTGCATTTTAAACCTTAAATCCCTGATGCCCCCTGGTTTGCCATCTTCACAAGAGGCATCATGCTGATCTTGGGAGATTGGATCTTGAGAGGGTGTTTGATCTGCATGGAAGTGTAATTAAGTCACCCCAGGTTCCCTTCAGCTCTCAGCTTTCTCCACTGAGTCTCTCTTTTGCCCAGTGCTGCCCTGGTGCACAAAACTTCCCTGCAGAAGGAGAAAACTAAAGAAGTTCAGTCAGGCTGGTTGGGCTGACAGGGTTTGGCAAGACCAGGCCAGAAACAGAAAACAGTGAGTGCACACAATAGTTGGAATGATCTTCTTGAAACTACAGATTTTTCCATCACAAGTTTTAGGACACAGGGCTTACTTTTTACCAGCCAGATGTTATGGACATGGTGCAACAACACAGGGTGGGGTTTTCTGTCCCAAAATACACTACAGGTCAAACAGGTCAGTTGTCTTCTCTGCAGGTAGTAATTTTGAGTATTACAGGGGCACTGTCAAAAAATTCAATTGCTTCCTTCTCTTTCTTCACTGACAAGGTATTAGGATATGCAGTAGAGAAGACCCAAGAATTCTGAGTAGGTGCATAACTCTGTTCAACAGCTACAGATTAAACAGAGGGTTGTGCATGCCTGAGAGACTGTTCTAAGTCAGATAACCCTGCCAGACCCTTATGCTTCTGCTTCTGTTATTTAAGGAATCCAAACTCAAAGAAACAATAGTGACCTCAGGAAAATAATTTCAAAAACTCCAAGAAAACTAATTTTCTTTAGAAGTCTTTTTCTTTTAATTTTGCCCAATTTTGTTCTCTTTCCATGTTTCCTTTCCTCATGCATTCAGCAGATGTGTATAAAGGCTCACCAGAAGCTATTTCTGAAGGTAGATTTTAATACTTGTGCCCAAAGTGCTTGCATTCCCATTCAATCAAGGAACAGCAAAAGTACCACGTACTGTCACTTATTCAACCAATTATCACTAAGCAGAAAAAAATTTCATTTCAGACCTCTCACCATGAATCCACAGAGTAAACAAGCCTTCACATTACTTGGATAAATTTTAGTAATGAATAAATGTTAGGAAGTTGCAACTTGCTCACAAATATTTTACAAATAGAACAAAAAGAATATGTTACCTTAGGCAATAGATTAGTGATGATTAATTCTCCTGTAATATTTATTTACATCACATAAGAGAAGAAGTGAAAAGAAAGTATTACAGAAGTAATGGTCTACATTTTCTTTAAAGGCTTTGAGGTGCCCCCATTTTTTAACTGTGAGCTCAGAGGCATTGAAGGGATGAGACTGATGCATGAGCACTCCTGGAAATGAGGCTCCTCAGAGGTGTCTCAAATGGGGCAGCAAGAGTTGCTATTTAATTTGGAAAACTCTTGCTGGGCATAGGACCATTTTAATAATTCCTCATTAAAACTCAGTGACAGGAAGAGATCTGGGTTTTTTCTGCAGCCCTAGAAAGATGAAGAGAACAGCTGGAGAGCAGGGAAATTACACTGACTGGGAAGAGAAAACAAAGCAGAGCAACCAGTGGCAGAGTCTTGGATGAGGAACAAAATGTAGATTAACTAAATCACCAGTGAGACATAACCTTGATTAATTTCTTTCCCACCCCTCTCCTATGCAAGCAGTAGCAGCTATAGCCAACAGCAGAGCCCAGGGACCTTTGCTGGGGTGGGGGCCTGCAGACGAGATGAGATGAGGTGGTGCCTGCACTGCCTCCCTGCTGACCCTCTCTCCTCTTGTTTCCCTGTGCCTGCAGGTCGTTTACTTCACTGCCACCTTCCCATATGTGATGCTCATCATCCTGCTGGTGCGAGGAGTCATGCTGCCGGGTGCTGCCGAGGGGATCATCTTCTACCTGAAGCCAGACATTTCTAGGCTGGCAGACCCGCAGGTGGGTGGGGTGTCGGGCAAATGCTGGCCATGAGAACGTTTTCAGTGCCTTGGCCGTTGGATCTGATGCTGACTGACCATCTAGCTGTCTTCTCTGAAAGGAGACCAAAGAACCAGAATCCTTAAAATTGCCGAGGGGGGTCTAGTCCCCCTGCACAGCACAGCCTTTTTGCTCATGGTCTGCAGCATATGGACATATTAGATCATTTCCACTCATGGGCTCAGCAAAACCAGAAGAGTATATCAAATATTCAGCATGTAACAGATGGTTTTCCTAACTGTTAAATGCAAATAACTAAGGGACGGGGGGGATATCTACCATTTTTCATTTTTTTTCTGGCCTGGTTAGCACTTTGTTTGGGTCCAACAGGGCCCTCCCAAGAAGTGTGGGGTCCCTGTGCTTGCACAGACTGAAGGCATGTAACATGGGCTGTGCCCCAGCTGGGCAATAAGTTCACTTCACCTGTCCTGGGGGCTGGTCCCACCTGCCTGGGTCAGGGCCTGGCCAAAGGGTCAATCCCTGCCCACCACTCACTGGAGCTTGTGGAAACCTTCCCCACCTTGGGAAGAAGGATGCTGTGTACCCAGAGGTGAAAAATAGGGTCAGAGATGACAAAAAGGGCAGAGGGTGCAGACAAACCCAGGACCTGCAAGGTAGCCCAAATTAGCAAGAGGTGGGCAGCACCCTTGGGGGCTGCACAGGGTCCCCCTTGGAGGATCCCTCTGGGGTGTCTGCTCCCACACCTTTCTGCAGCAGTAGGTTGCTTCTCTTCCCCACGCGGGCTCAGCAATGCCCACGGAGGTGTTAATGCTGACCCCCCTCCCAGAAGAGCATTTAAATGACACTTGCTGCTAATTATTCCACTGCTGAATCATTTCATGGAGGCAGCCAAGCAATAGGCTTAGCCCACAGTCTCAGTTGACCTTACGTGTCTTCCCAGATGCCCAAAGCCCCAGCTGCTCCCTAACCAGCTGCCAAACCCACTGTTTTCCCCCCCAAATTGCTTTCAGATGTATCTATGTGTTGTCAATAGAAAATCTGTGGTGCACTGAAAGCAGAAAGCCAACTGAATGTAAATGGCATTTTGATATCAAAATAAATAACAGTGGGATGACTGGGGCTGAGTGTGTTTTATTCACGGTCAGAGCTTATTCCCTGGAAACCTCCCTATCTTTCACAGCCTAACTAAAGCTGACATGGTCTTTCCAGGCTGCTGCAACCCAGCATAGCAGGACTAAGATCCTGCTACTGAGTTTTGGCAGAATGTGGGGCTTTGGTTAAAGTGGGATGTGTGTCCGTGCCTGAAGGGCTGCCATATACTTGCCTTTCCATGAGAAATCTGTGTGAATTTAGGCAGCAGTGCCTGGGCTAGGATTCTTTGAAGGCTACAGAATTTCATCCATCTTTCTGGATGTTTGCAGCTGGGGACTGCTTGGAGAAAAAATAGGGTGAGCAAGGATCCTGGAGATGATCAGAAAGGTGAGCTGTTTCCCTGCCTTCCTGCTAATTCACAGCTCAGGGCTTTCCCTGGGAGGGCCTAAGAGCAGAGCTGCAGCTCAGCCCACAGTTCAGCTCCTCCACAGAGGAGAGGGCTGGAGCAGTGGTGAAGCCTGCTCAGCTTTTCCCAGGCAATGCCAGAGCAAGGGAGAACCTGAATGTGTGACAGCCCACTGGCCTGGAATCTCTCAGCTTGGCAATTTTCTGCCCTTCACCCTGCACCATGGCCTCAGGGATGCTGGAAACTAGATTAGGGAGCAGGGAAGGCATCAACACTGACTTGATCACAGTTTCGTTTGGTGTGACTCACAAGTGGCTCTGCAAACCCTGGGATACGTAGGGACCACAGACTCCAACAGTGTCAGCTTCTGCTGGAGCCATGCCATCAGGGTGCCATCTCCACCCTGAATGCAAAGGTGAAGGATGGAAAAGTGATGTCACCTTGAGTGGGATGCGAAAATGCATCCTCTCAGGAGACTTTTCCTAGAGGATTTCCAGTCCTGTAGCTCATTTTTCCCAGACAGGCATCCCAGTTTCTACACTCACTGATCCCCTCTCTGTCTCACAGGGTTTTTTCTCCATGACTGGAGGGGTTGTTGTTGGCAGGGCACAGCCATTTAGTTTTGTCGTTGTCAGGTCTGGAGACCACTGGCCTTTTCTGTTCCAGGTCTGGATGGATGCAGGCACTCAAATCCTCTTCTCTTATGCCATCTGCCAGGGATGCCTGACAGCTCTGGGCAGCTACAACAAATACACCAACAACTGTTACAGGTAAGAGAAGCCTAAACTTCTTGTATCCTTCTGGAAATTTGGTAAGAGACAAACAGCATGGAGCTGTGTCAGAGGCAGCCGGGGGAGACCTTGGGTCACGCTGCTTTGACTAGTGAGCTGCTCAGAGCACAGAGGTCGTGGAGGACAGCACAGGGATGGAGAGTAGCTGAGGGAACAGAGGAACTCCAGAAAATGGCTTTAATTGTGCTCTCCTGCACGAGTCAGGTTGGAAATGGGAGATTTGGAGGAGGGGGAGGAATGAAAATAGAGAGTGTCTCCAGCCACTGTATAGACACCACAGTCTATTTTGACAGGGTGTGTGGGCAGGGGTGGCACAGCCATGTTTGACTTCACTTGTGAGGCAGGGGAGGTGGTACAAAGAGGAAGGCAGGTGCTTTACTATCATCAGAGTAATGTACTGCCAGTGGCCTTTTGACCCTATCAAGGAGATTAATCAAGTCTGTCTGGCCTTCTCCATGCCCGTGGATTACAGATCTATTTTATCCATGGCCTGACATGGGGCTCAGTGGAGCCATCAGGAGCACTTCTGACACCTTCTACAGAGCCCTGAGAAGCAGGGGCTTTGTTCTTCCTTCATGAATTGCTCCAGCACAGATGGGAAAATGGAACTGTACTTGGGAGATTTCAATTGTCTCTCCTTCTGTTCTCCGATAGGTGCTGCCACGGCTGTTGGTCGGGTAGTTAATACTTTCCTCTGGCTCTCCTGGAATGTATCTGTCACCAATGGAGCAGTGCACTGATGCCTTCCTCTAATTCCTTTGGTGCTTTGCACTGGCAGCTTAGCTCTGGGTGGTCCAAATGTGCTGGGTGTCCACACTGCCCCATAGCAGTTGATGCTGTGGGTCAGCTCTGGCAACTGCCCAGGCAGGATCCTGGGGTGTGGGGCTTCCAGCCCAACCAGCTCAGACTGGTGGCCCGTTTTTGCAGGGAGCAAGTGCACAAAAGTTTCAGGACAAGGAGCATAGCACATTCCAGCCTCCATATGAATATAGTTAATAAAGACAGCGTAGACACAGTCCTTGTCAGGTGAGGATTAGGGTTAGCCCATGAACCCTTGTTTACCAGAATTGCTGAACCTGTATGTGTTCATGCTTTCAGATGCTCCTCTTTCTTGCCTGTGTTTACTTTTGCAACCTCTTCCCTCTACTAATTTGCTTTTTTCCCCACTTTCTCTATTGTTTTTCTTATTCTCTTGACTCTAGTCAGCTTTTTTGTTGCCATGTCCTTGTGTATATCATTGTGTCATCCTATTCACAAGCCACTGGTGGTGCCTCATTCTCTGTGCCACGTGCAGTGAGGCACAAGGTAGGTAGGCTGATATTTGGCTTTGTCTTGAGTTTTTTACTTCTGAGGGAGTTCAAAACCAACGTTGTTGTTTCTTGGTTTATGCTGCCTGACTAGGGAAGCTGACTACAGACACGATCCCAAGTGGAACCATTCTGCAGCAGGAAACACTGATTTCTCCCTGGTCTCCTCCCTGCAGGGACTGCATCATGCTCTGCTTCCTGAACAGTGCCACCAGCTTTGTTGCTGGCTTTGCCATTTTCTCAGTGCTGGGCTTCATGGCTCGAAAGCAGGGCATACCCATTGCAGAAGTGGCTGAATCAGGTAGGTTTTTCTGAGACTTCAGAGACAAGGGAAAACAAAGCGCCTGAAGGGAAGGGCCCTTTTCTGAAGTGAAGCCCAAGATGTTATCTACATCCTCTATCACTATGGGAGTCTGCAGAAAGGTCTGCAGGACCTGTGCTCCATGACACAACTTTCAGCCCTGTGTGGGCAAGAAGCCATGGTGATACAAACTTTTAAGAAATATGTGAGCTTACTCTGTGCTGCAGGGCAGTGGTGGCAGGTGATGGTGTGAGTGGCACACGTGGTCATCCTGTGGTCTGTTGGCAGGTCCTGGCCTGGCTTTCATAGCCTATCCAACAGCGGTAACAATGATGCCCGTGTCTCAGCTCTGGTCCTGCCTCTTCTTCCTCATGCTGATCTTCTTGGGACTGGACAGCCAGGTACAGCAAACACTTCATCTCATCTAACACCCAAATGCCTGTCCCCACCCTGAGCAATCCCCACGGTCATTGTAAAGTATAAAGTGGGTTTGTGCCTTGCTGGTACCTTCCATATGTTCTCTTCCTTGTACGTAGTGCTTTCACATTGAGGGAGCTCAGAGCCAGGGCCAGTGGCAGGCCAGTGGTAACATGTGCTGGCATCTCTGTTTGGTATCCTCCTCCCTGTGTGTACGTGAGGATGTCCCAGCTACATCCCTTCCCATCTTTTTGCTGGCACCGACTCTGTGTACACAACAGAGGGAGGCCTGGCACAGAGCAGGGCAGTTTGGGAGAGGGAATGGGACTGTTTTCTCCCAGCTGCATCCCAGCAGAGCAACCCCTGTATTCTCTTCTCACCAGTGTGCCCATCCTTTACTATCTCACACCCCTGTTATGCCAGGAGCAAACCTCAGCAGAGCACCCTGCAGAGCACAGCGTGCAACCCTGGCATGCTGGGATGAGGGATGCAGGGGGTGTCCTGGCATGTTTGCCAGGCAGGGTGCTCTGCTCAGGCTCTGCTCTGCAGCACCTCAGCCCCTCCACCTGGAGAATCAGGCCTTCTTCCTCTGTTTTTGACAGCCCTTGGTGGAAGCAAGACAGACGAAAAGGCAAAATGAAAAAACAAGGATTTGGGTGGTGGGAGGCAAAAAGGATGGTGAGAGGAAGTGTGTGCTTGGGGAAGGAGAGACACTGATTTTTCTGACCTGTTTTCTTCTGCAGTTTGTCTGTGTGGAAAGCATGGTGACAGCTATTATTGACATGTTCCCAGGAGTGTTTCGGAAGAAGGGGCGTCGGGAGCTGCTGATCCTGGCCATTGCAGTCATATGCTACCTGCTGGGCTTACTGCTAGTCACTGAGGTAAGAAAGGAGTAGCTGGGTTATACAGCTGAGCACCAAAACCCCTGCTACACAGCTCTGGAGGTCTGGGCAGAGACAGCAAGCTTGTCTTTGGTGCTGTTAATTATCCTTCATTTCTAACGCATTAGCTGGTGTCTCTCACAGCCAGTGCTGCTTTGACCCTGTGTGATGCTGGTGCACTCTCTGCACAACTGAGCCTTCCAGAGAGATGGTCCCACAGCCCAGAGAGGCTGCTTGACACACAGCTTTGTGCAAACAGAATCATAGAATCACAGAATCAGCTGGGTTGGAAGGGACCTCTGAGATCAAGTCCAACCCTTGATCCACTACCGCCGTGGTTACTAGACCATAGTATTAAGTGCCACATCCAGTCTTATCTTAAAAAGCTCCAGGGATGGAGAATCTACCACTTCCCTGGGCAGCCCATTCCAATGCCTAATTACCCTCTCTGTAAAGAATTTCTTCCTAATATCTAATCTAAACCTTCCCTGGCAGAGCTTAAGACCATGCCTTTTTGTCTTGTTGATAGCTGCCTGGGAGAAGAGACCAATCCTCACCTGGCTACAACCTCCTTTCAGGGAGTTGTAGAGAGTGAAGAGGTCTCCCCTGAGCCTCCTCTTCTCCAGGCTAAACAACCCCAGCTCCTTCAGCCTCTCCTCACAGGACTTGTGCTTGAGTCCCTTCACCAGCCTCGTTGCTCTTCTCTGGACCTGCTCCAGCACCTCAATATCCTTCCTGAACTGAGGGGCCCAGAACTGGACACAGCACTCGAGGTGTGGCCTCACCAGTGCTGAGTACAGGGGAAGAATCACTTCCCTGGACCTGCTG